CATCATTACCCTTTTAATTTCCATAAGATTAGTAGTGAGGTCCCATGTTTCATTTCTGATATTATTATTTGTGTTCTCTCTCTTTTTCTCTTAGTCTGTTAAGAGGCTTGTTGATTTTACTGATATTTTCAAAGAATCACCTTTTATTTTCATTGATTTTTTGCATTCTTTTTTTTGTTTTCAATGTCATTGATTTCTTCTCTAATTCTCTTACTATTTTTAAATAAATAAAGATGTATGTGTATAAGTATTCATATTCTCACTTTTGTTCTATTAACAATATAATCTGTAATTCCCTCCAGTCTGTAATATATGGAGATATTCATAATTCCTTTTTACAGTAGCTATTACTGCATTGTGTAGGCATGCTACAGTTTATATTATAACATCTACTATTTGATAGGGGTTTGGGTTATTTCTAGACTTTGTTTTTAAAAATACAATACAATGGGTATCCTTGTTCATACATCTGTTTGTATTTTTGCTATCATAACTCTGGGATAAATTTCAGAAAGTGGTATTGCTTGGACAAAAGATAAGTACATATACAGTTTTGCTAGATATTGCCAAATTTCCTTTTATAAGAATCATGCTATATTGTATTCTTACCAGTTAAGAACATAAACAGTATCTCTGTAATTTTAATGTGTTTTTCTTGTTACTAGTAGTTGAGCGTCTTTTCAAATGGCTAAGAATCATTTTCACTTCTTTTGCTTGACTGTTTATATCTGTATCTTATTTTTATATATGGTTATTTTTCTTCAGTAGTTGAGACATTAATATTTTAAGGCTAGAAACCCTTTGAAATATTAGTTATAAATATTTTTCTTAGTTATTTGCCTTTTTGCTTTGTTAATGGATGTTATTTGCCATGTAAAATTTTTATTTCTATCACCCTTTCCTTGATCATTTATAGATTTTGAGTCATAGTTAAGAGAGTTTTTCCAGATCCCAGTTTATAAAGGAACTCACCCATGTTGCCTTCAAGTACTTGTATGGTTTTACCTTTAACATTTAAATCTCTGTTTCATTTAGAATTTATTCTGGTGTACAGTTGAGGAATGAATCAAATTTATTGTTTTCTATGTGACTATCCAGTTATCTCACCATCATTTATTGAAAAGTCTTTTCCTCATTGATTGTTTCCTTGATCACATGCTAAAAATTTCATACACAATTAAGCCTATTTCTTGAGTTTCCATTCTAACCTATTCATCTCTATATATTCATATACCAAATATCATATTATTTTAATTATGGTCTTTATAATGTATTTAATGACTACAAGCCATACTTCATTGCAGTTTTTTTTTAGATTTTATTTATTATTTTTAGGAAGAGGGGAAGGGAGGAAAAAAGAGAGGGAGGGAAACATTGGTTGGTTGCCTCTCTTACATACCCCATCCAGGGACCAAACCTGCAACCCAGGCATGTGCCCTGACAGGAATCTAACTGGTGACCTTTCACCTTGCAGGACAACACCCAACCAACTGAAACACACAGGTCAGGGCTGCACTTTCTTTTCATCATTTTAATAGGTATATTTTTTTACTTATTCTTTCTAACGATCCTTCTAAATACCTTTCTGGCTCCAGGGAAAAGAAGAAAGAGTCTAACAGAAGAGGGTATAAGGAAGATAAATGGTAATGGAAAAAAATACAAAAAAAAACCTAACCTAACACTGTTTGGTTGGGACTGTCTCAAAAATACAAATTACAAAGAAAGGACATCATTACAAAATTGAGTTACTCTACAAAAAAACATACTGTATGTTTTTCCATTTGTTCAAGTCTACTTTTGTCTTTTTCAGGAGTATTTTATAGTTTCCCTTATATAAGTGTCAGATACTTTTTGTTAAGTTTATACCTATGTATTTTTATTTGTCAATTGTAAATGTAATGTTATCATTTATAAATTTTTAAATATAACTGAAAACAAAATGGTTTTATACCTCTGGATTCCATTCTTTGATCTTGTCCTTACCTTGGGAAGGAAAAAAAGGAGCCTAATATTTATTGCATTCTGTCCAGGCACTTTTACACATATCACTCCATCTGGCCTTCACAGCAACCCAGGAAGCTAAGTATAGTTATCTTTACTTTTTGGAGAGGAGGAGCTCAGTGAGTTGAGATTTAAAATGGGAGCTTTATCCTCTACATAGCTCATTTCTCCCTTTTGCAAATGAAGGAGTCACAACACAAGAAGGTCCACAAGCAACATTGGAAATCCTAGTCCTGGCTCTTTTACTGACTAGCCATGAGGCTTCAGATTGGATACAATATTCAAAACAATGTAAAATAGTGCCCTGCTTAGTATCTGATGTTATTGAGAATATCTCTATTAATTTTACCACTAAGTATGACTTTGGCTATTAGTTAGTATTTTTAAATTCTATTTCTCGTTTCCTGAAAATATTTTTCTATTTAAAATCACTTGAGCTGCTTAGAAAACATCCTGTGCTAGGACAGAATTTATTGGTAAATAAGGCAGGTCAGTTTCCTGTTCTAATAGGGTTTATATTGTATTATGTGGTATAGCAGAGGGGAAGGGGGATGGGTGTGAAGGGGTAGGAAGGAGCCGAGATAAGCAAACACATAAAAAAATGGAAGTAGGTAACTTGAGAAAGTAATAAGTGTTTTAAAAAACAAAATAGGGTAAACAGAAATCCCAGTTTAGATTAGGTGGAGGTAATATTTGGGGTGAGATCTAAACTTCAAGGAGGCAGGCTTGCAAAGAACTTGGAGAAAACAAAAGGAACAGCTAGTGCCAGAACGTGAAATTTTATAAGATTTGTTTTTGGATTTCCTTGAAATTATTTTAAAAATCAATAAAATGAAAGATATATGAAACATATTTCTTTTCTCCTTTGGCCTATAAGTGTGACCAACTGTATTAAGGATTTCCTAATGTTGAACTATCCTTGTACTTCTGTGAAAAAACACTACTAGAGCATGGTGTTTTTTCCAATATATTTCTGTGTTGCCTTTGATAGAGTTTTGTATAAAACTTCTTGTCTAAGCTATAAGGTATTATATCATGGTTATACTATGTGCATTAAATAAATTAGGAAGATTCTTGTTTTTAATATTTAGGAGCAGTTCAAATAGCTAGGAATCCATGTGCTACTTAGAAATTTGAAAGAATTTGCTGGTAAAATTATTTTAACTTTGTTACTTTTTAGGAGTAATTAGTTATTTTATTTATGTTTTAATCACTATTTTTATTTCACCCATGGATATTGGTCTATTCAGATACCACCTTCTAAAGCAACTGATCACATTTATTGTACACAGTGATCTTTATTTCTCCCTCATACATGTGGTTACATTCCTTTCTCATTCCAAATGCGGAATATTTGGAACCTCTCTCAATTTTTGTATTAGACTTGATAGAGTTTTGTGTATTTTATTGGTCTTTCCAAAGAATACATTTTCAGGTTTAGCTATTTTGTGTTCTAATTTATTAATTTCTGTATTGTCTTTATTAACTTTTCTTCTTTTATAATTTTATTTTTCTAAAGTATTTAGATATTTACATTGATTTTTATTTGGTTTTGCTTAAATTAAAAAGCATTTCAGACTCTCAGTGTATATGCTTAGTTATATTCCATAGATTATGACTCAGTGTTTTCATGCACATTATTTAATAAATATGTAGTAATTCATTTTTGTTTCCTCTTTGACGTAAGAGTTATTTGAATCAAATATGATCTTTTTAAGTTTTTTAACTTCTTGTCCTTTTATTAGTAATTTTTAGTTTTGTTGTATTATAATCAGAAAACATGGCCTATAAACTTTTCACTTAAGTTTTCTTTGTAGATTAAAATATAAAGTGATTGTAGCAATCCCATGTTGGAAACCTTACACACCTAAAAAAATGTCTTTTTGTTGCTCTCTGCCTGGTACAAAATTTTCATAATTTTCCCTTCAAAAGCATAAATGCTACTCTATCTTCCTCTGACATTTATTGTAATAGAAAAGTCCAATGATTTCCACTATTATTTTTTTCCTCCTTTTACAACTTCTGTCTAAAATCATTGTTATGTGTATACTCTTCATCTTTGAATCTTTCTTCTCATTTATGGGAGCTTTCTTAAGATCATCTCCATCATTGTTTCCGTTTTCTATAGGATCTAATCTTTAGGTCCCTACTTTAGTTGGATTTTTTAAATTTCATAATTTTTTTTAAAGAAAGGAGAAACATCACTTAGTTGTTCTGCTTATTTATACATTCATTGGTTGACTCCTCCATGTGCCCTGACTGGATATCGAACCCACAACCTCAACATATTGGGACTATGTTCTAACCAGCTGAGCTACCTGGTCAGGGCTGATAATTATGTTTTTGATCTGAAAACAATCTCAGGGCAAAGACATGCAATAATCTTTGAAATGTTTTATTCTCTTAGAGGCTCATATGCTTTGATTCCTTAGACTGACTGCTTTCTTCTGAAGTATTGAATCATTTCATAGACCAGATAACATTTCTTTTCATTATTTTTCACCAAGGATGGAGGAAGGAGGGCAAGAATGTTTGTTCAGGTGCCTCCAGGCTGTGTAAATTCCTGTTCCAATTCACATGGCAGGCTATTACTTTCCTTAGGATGATCCATCCCTCTAACTGCTTCCTCCTGTTCTGTTTTATAGAATTCTTTGTGTTTGCATTAATGTGGATGGCACTTTCCCTGATTTCTAGCACAGACATATATCCCCTCCACCCCTATTTTAACCATTTTTTTGGTGGGTTCAATTAGTATTGGCAGAGCTGGCAGGATGGTAGGAGAGGAGAGTCAGAATTTTTAGGTGCAGCATGAGTCTTAGATTGTCATGTTGAACCAAAAATCCACTATGCACAGGATAATGAAAACTCTTGTGAGCTCCAGTTTACGAAGAAGAAAGGAAACTTGTGTTCTTATCCTTTGCAAGTAGTGTTGTGTACATGGAAGTCTTTCTGCTTTACTCGTCCTGTGTTCACCATATTGTTCTTGTTTTGACTTATAGAAAGATGTACACAAGGAGTTCTATTTGTTCCCCACAGTGTTTGATGAGAATGAGAGTTTACTCTTGGATGATAATATTAAAACATTTACAACTGCACCCGATCAGGTGAACAAGGAAGATGCAGACTTTCAGGAATCTAATAAGATGCACTGTAAGTACTGCCCCGAACACCGATCTAGCAAGTTATTTCAGTGCTGCACATGGAATGCTTTTAATGATGCCAAAATTCCAATAGCTTTGCTTATTGTTCAATAAGTGATTAAATGCAATGAGAGTAATATTGGTTATTTAATGTATCAGTTCATTATTCCTCATTTCGCTTACTTCAGGATAACACATACAAACTATGTCAATTAGATACATATTAAAATGTGATCAGCGTTACCCAGAGCTTGTCAGAAATGCAAATTCTTGGGTCCCCAATCCTGACCTACAAAATCAGAAACTGGGGGTATGGGGCCAGCAATCTACGTTTAACAAACCCTCCAGGTGATTCTCAAATACGCTCAAATTTGAGAACTGCTGGATTACCTATTTTTCTCTTCTGTGGCTTAATAATGACAGGCTCATTTTATTGTTTAATATGAGGAAAGGTATTGTCTCTGTTCTCAACAAACTTCAATGAATCTCACCATTGACTACACAGTATAATCAACTGGGAACTTTTAAACATGATTATGACTATTTTTAAAATACTCAGGAGAAACTTCAGAGGTTTTACTTTAATTGAAACCTGGCACCAGATTTATTTTTACCTCCAGTGCAATTCTAAAATGCAGTTAGTGTTCAGAGACAGTGAGCTAATTGTTAAAACAAAATTTTTTTAAATCCACACCACTAATAGACATGTGAAAGTTATTGTAGCAAGAAGAAAAAAATGTAAATGTTACAGATTCTTTTTTAGCTGGATCAATACTAGTCACAATACCTACAATCTTTGATTTTGCCTTTTTTGCATTTTTGGAGGAGTCAAAGATATTATCTATTGAAAACAGCAGTGAGAGAAAACTTCCTGCAAATACTCTGTCCTGTTTATTCAAGATGAGTCAGAGAATTTTCCATTTAGAACAACAAACACATTCCCAGTCTTTTCCTTGCCCAGGAAAAGCTGTTATTACTCATATATTTGGGTGTCCACAATATGACCCTTGAGAGAATTGTGAAGGGCCTAGCTGGGAAAACAGTGAGATTCCCAGGACACAGAACTTCTTGAATCTTTCATTCAGCTCTACTCTCTTGTCCTGGGGCTGCTCTGGAGGGTACATCAAAGAGTTGCAAAAACACTCCTGCCACATAAAGGAGTAGAGAGACCTGAATGGGTTTTTTAAAAATTAAATAAATAAAGTTGGCTCTGGAAAGTCTAGGAAGCTGTCATGTAGTAGGACACAAGGTAAACCATTTTTAAAATGTTGTTTTTCACCTTCTACAGCCATAAATGGATTTATGTACGGGAATCAGCCTGGCCTCAATATGTGCAAAGGAGATAGGGTCACATGGTACTTATTCAGTGCTGGAAATGAGGCCGATGTACATGGGATTTACTTTTCAGGAAACACGTATCTGTCAAGAGAAGAAAGAAGAGACACAGCAAACCTCTTCCCTCATACAAGTCTCACACTCACCATGGAGCCTGATAATGAAGGTGCATTTCTTTAAAGATAAGTCTCTATTGGATTGATTCCTGAGGTTTTGGTTTAAAATCCTGTGTTGGGTGATAAGCTCATCCCTTTCTCAAGCGTCCCAAGTACCCTTCCTTCCCTTGGAAGAGCACTCCTGGACCACTGCCAGCAATATTGCAGACAGGTCCATTTCATATTTGTCAGCGGGAGAGAAAAGAGTGACAAAAGGGTAGACTGGAATTTCTCCTATTTCCACAAAGCAGAATCCTTAAGACACCCTCTTCTTGTATTATGGCCCTTTTAAAGATAGCTGGCAAATCAGACTGGAAGGCTCTATATCTAAACTCCTCATCATTTCTCTGTAGCCTAGATGTAGTGTTCGCTTGTCAATTGTTTACAATTGAATATCTTATTCTAAAACGATAGCCCTGAAAATTCAGAGACTCCTATAGGTCTGGCTCTGAATAAGTAAGACAAACTAAAGCAAACAAAAAAAAAGTGAAAAAAATGCTAACTTGCTTCCAACTTATATTTAGTTCATTATGTGTCACTAGAATGTAAGACAAGGTCAGTGTCACCTTTTCCTTCATTCATTAGACATGTGTAAATATAACAGTAAACAAGAGATAAAGTGTCTGGTCTCGTGCAGCTGATTAAGTACTATGAAGAAAAACAGGGCAGGAAAAGGGTCTGGTGACTGATGGGAGGAGCTGGGTAAAGATTCTCTAAGGAGGTTTAAATGAAGTGAGTGCCAAGAGCCACATGGATAGTGTGGAAATAAATGTTCAGGCAGAGGAATCAGCAAATTCAAAGGCCGTGAGGCTGGCACATCCTTGACCTGTGGCTGGAGCAGAGTGAGTGGTACAGGATGTGATCAGAAATCAGCTCATTAGCTCAGGCTGCAGTAAGGACTTTGGTGTTGATTCTGAGTGAGGGGAGGAGCCACAGAAGGCATTAAACAAAGGAGTGACATGCTTTTTTATTTACTTTTCAAGGGACTTTTAATATTGAATGCCTCACAACTGATCACTACACCGGTGGCATGAAGCAAAGATACACTGTGAACAAATGCAGGCAGCCACCTGAGAATCCAAACTTATACCTGGGAGAGAAGACCTACTACATTGCTGCGGTGGAGGTGGAATGGGATTACTCTCCAAGTAGAGAATGGGAAAAGGAGCTGCATCGTTTACAAGAGCAAAAGTAATTCTCTAGAATATGATTCCCAAATTTTTAGTTTCTCTTTCAGAGAAGAAAGAATTATGTTAAATTGCAGTAAAACAACAGTTGTGTTAAACAATAACAAAATGCTTCTTAGAAATCCTTCTTGTTAATTTCAGCTTCTCTCTATTTTCTTACAGGAAAATTTGCATTTTCCTGTATTTTGCTTTGTATAATGTGCACCCACATTTTTGGCCAAAAGTTTCAAGAAAAAAATCTTTCATTTCAATGTTTTAATTAAATTTTTAATTTATTTATATGTACATACTTGTTTTTTGCATTACAAAGGAATTTTAACATTTATTTTTTAACATATTATGGTGCAAGAAATTTTATTTAACAAATAATTACAAAAGAACAGATATAAGATTTCAGGTGCTGCCCATGTATAATGTGCATCCTTATTTTTCCCTAAAAAATTTGGGCAAAAAAATGTACATTTTACACAGCAAAATACGGTCTCATGTGATTCTTTGCAGTCACTCATGTTTCTTTCTTTTCTATTGGACTGTCTTCTTATGTTCACTTACACCAAAATTTGCTCCTCAGTTCAGAGCTAAAATATTATTTTCTTCGCCAACTGTTTGCTGTTTATCTTATCTTTTCTCCAAAGAGTTTGTTATTAGTCTAGTAATCAGTTATTTTACATTCCTTTAACTATCATGTATAAAAGAAAACTTTAAATTGTTGAGGGCAGTATAGCAGATATGGTCTATGCTCTCCAAGAACTTTCAGAGAAACAGGGTTCAAAACCACCAATAACAAGTACATTATGGGAATGAAAAAATAAGTTCAGTATGAACAGATGTAACTTATGGGTGTTGGTTGGAGCTTCAGAAGTATTCGTTTAGAGCAGCATCCCCTATACCTGTGGTTAGCCTGTTGGTACTGTTTCATGTACCTTCCCTCTGTCACTTCTCACATTGTGCACCAGCTCTTAATGGACATGATTTGAAAGACTGGGGTGGGCATGTGTTTCGATCTGGGGTGCACAACATGGCTGATAACCTGTAGCTAAGCAATGGTTAGCTGGTCAGTTAGACTGTGATGGTGAGTATGATTTACAGGGTAAAGAAGTAAAAGATTATTTCAGTAACTGGGGTAAAACAGTCAAAAGGCTACAGGAGCCAGTAGGAGTCAATAAAAACTTTAGTTAAAGAAAGTATCTAGAAAAACATGGCCATTTCAGTTCCTACAGACCAGAAGCATTGTAGTATCCAGAGAACAGTTCACTGGTGAATCTGGACCCATAACATTTTAGAACTATAAGCAAATCTTAGAGAAGACCTCCTTTATGCCTCATTTTAGGAGAGACGAAACCAAGGCCTGATAGGCAGTGACTAGCTGGAGGTTGTTTTAGTGGCAGAGCCAGGGCCAAGGCTCAGATGGCTCTCCTTCTGGCCAGGTACACTGTCTACCTCACACGTCTGCTTTCAAAGTCTTGCTGGAGGGGGAGAATGGTATTAAAAATGAGCATAATTACTTAAATAGAAACTGTATGTTTATTCAAAATTTAAAATTTAAAACTCAATTTCCACTTTCATTAAGACAAGTACTAACCTTAGTTGTGTGTGTTTGTGTGTTTTTTTTTAAGTGTTTCAGATAATGCATTCTTAGATAAGCAAGAACTTTACATAGGCTCAAAGTACAAGAAAGTTGTGTATCGGCAATACACTGATGGCACGTTCCAAGTCCCAGTGGAGAGAACAGCTGAAGAAGAACACCTGGGAATTCTAGGTACTCAAACAGCTCCAGTCCATCAGGTGTGGGTTAGTGACTTGCTGCCGTGGCCAGTGACAGTCCCTGTCTAGGGGTTTAATTTTCTTGGTCATGTAACAAAGCTATTTAAATAAAAAGAGTTCTTCTAGTTGCTGCCCGATTAATGAATAGCTTAATGAAGCCAATTAGAGCTTCACAAAAATAAAAATAAAAATTATTCAATAAGAATGAGAGGCCTATGATTATGGCATAATAAAATATTATTTGTGTCAGAAACAATGTATTATCCCATATAATAATGAAATTGCAAATATTTGGTGTTTATCAAACTGTTATTTATAATTTTGGTGAAATTCCTAGAAATTACTTTCTAATGAAATTCTTAACCAAATTCTTCATTATTCTCCCATCTCTCCCCCCCCCCAAAAAACATAGCTATCTACTTTTAAAATTAAGATGTAAATGAGTAACTCCAAGGAAAAAAATATACATATATATATATATATATATATATATATGGAGTATAAGGGGGAAATAAAGAGTTATCATGCACAAGGCAGGGGAAAAAGTTGCCTTCAATATTTCAGGAATCGTTTTAAGACAGATGTCTAGGAACTTGACCAATACTGGTCCTGGGAATTTCCTTGAAAACCATCACATGCAGGGGACACCACTCTGAACCATGCTGTATTTCCACACTGATGGAGTTCCCTGGGGCTTGGTTCTCTTCAGCCCCCAGAGAAAGACATCCAAGGGAGAAGGCAGTATCACTGGCTAACAGAATTCTCCCAAGCTGGAGACAAGCTAAGATTGGCTGTAGAGGAAGAATGGGAGGGGTAGCCCCACCCACCCTTTCAAATGCAGGACTGCCTGCATTTAGTAAATCACACTCAGGAAATTCTGGAAGTCCAAAAGCTGAGATCAGGACTCCTGGCCAGGGATGGGTCACAGCTGACTCATCACGATTAGGCCTATGGAGGTTTAGAGACTTTCAGGCCCAAACCTCCATAGGACTCTAGATAAGATGCACCATCTGCAGAAGTGGTCATTACTATGGTTTTTATCCTGAATCCTCTGGAATTAAGTATAAATCCAAGAGTACTATAGCATGAAGCCATAGAGGGTAATACAGACTCTGGCCTTAATGCTAAGGAAGTAACCTCATCTGTGCTTTTATTACTGAGTTAGAACTTCCAATCTAACAGGCATATGAGCCAGTCCTCCTTTTCTCTCTTGCCAGGTCCACAACTTCATGCGGATGTTGGAGACAAAGTTAATATTATCTTCAAAAACATGGCCACAAGGCCCTATTCAATACATGCCCATGGGGTGAAAACAAAGGGTTCTACAGTTACTCCAGCCTTACCAGGTACTCATGGGGGAGGTACTCACAGGAGAGACTGAAGAGATGAACGCAGAAAGGGCAATGGGCTGGATGCAGGAGGGAAGGCGACCGCAGAGGCCATAGTTAGGACCTTAGATTTTATTCTAAAAACCCATGTGAGGGTTTAAACTGGAGGAAGTTGATCCTATGAACATTCTTTAAAGGGCTGGTCTGGCTGGTATGTGGGCAAGTGACTATAGAGGTCAGGAGCAGAACGAAGGATCAGTTAGGAGGTTATTGCAATAATCTGGGTAAAAAAAAAAATGAGACTTGGGCCAGGTTAGAAACAGTTCAAGTGGTGCGTTGTCATATTCTGGTTCTACTTTAAAGGTGGTGCTAAAAGGACACATGAAAAACTGGGCATTAGGAATGTAAGGGAAGGAGTGGGAATCAGGACAGCTCCAAGGTTTGGAGCATTGAGTTCTTGGTGACAGAGCAGGTTGGGATGGGGAATGGAGAAGGAAATGTCATTATTTGGCTTATGACAATAAGCATGCAGATGAAGAGACAATATATTTAGGAGGGAACTCTATGCTTTATTCTCAGTGAAATGTTCTCCTTATAAAAAGGGTGAGGTTACAGGGGCAGGTAAGATGGAGGGCTTGAGGAAAAAGAAAAAAGCTACCACATCCCTTGAAACCATCCCTCATGTCTTGCTTGATTCGCTAATAAAGGTTTGTCAGACTCTGATATGGCTAGTCTGACAGCATGAATAACGGTGGAGCCTGCATAGAGTAGACATGAGTGAACATGGCTGAAAATCAAGGTCTTGTGTGCAGTTGTACTGGAAGCCCTGAGGCAACTGGAAGAAGAGATAAGGCTAGAGAAGAGCCCGGCACAAACAGAAGAGAGTACAGGCCTTCACAAGATAGGAGGGTAGAGCAACTGGCCGTCTTCAAAGTCTCAAGGTCCAGGGTATGATCCTGTATGTGACACAGTTGTGGCAAACAGTTTATGGTATGATAGATAGAATGGGACAAACTAGAGAAGAGGTCAGTGGCCCATTAGGTCAAGGTCTATCGGCTCTTCACCAGGTATTGTGAAATCACTGAGGATCAAGGTAAGAAAGGAGAAAAGGAAAGTCATGGTGAAGCTGAGGGAATTGCACAGGGTAGCCCAGATACACAGACACAGAGAAGACTGTGAGGAAGGCGCTAGCACTGTGGGGCAAATCACTTGAACTGATAAGAAAAAAGTGTATTAGAAAAACATACATCGAGCTAAGAAGAGATCTGTTGCAAAGTTTCTCCAAATTGTGATACTGGAATTGCCACCATTACCTAACAAAGTCAAGGAGTTTGATGCCCTTCACGCACAGAAAAGCCAAAGTCCGAGCCAACAGGTTTTCACAGAGAAAAGCAGATATCTTCATCAGGCAGCCAGACAGGGACACAGATCAGGCTCAGGTCAGTCTCCCTTAGATAAAGGCTTAGGGTACATTTAAACAATGAGGTTAGAAAGGAGCTCTACATAGCAATTAATTCTCATTTAAGGGCTCTGGTTGGATGACCTGGGAACTGAGTTATCCGGGGTAAAGAATGGGAAGGGTAAAAGAAGGTATAAAGAAATTCCAAGTGTGCAGGGCCTGGGTGGGTGAGATCCAAGCGCCCTGCTGTTATCTCCTGAAAGCCAAAAGAACTGGGAGGGAAAAACTACTAGGCTCTGGTTTCAGTTTTGGGGCCTGATTTCACCACCTCCTGGCCTTTGTGGTAGTACATGTGCATCAAGTCCAGTTAATTCATAACTGACAAAGAAGATGGAAAAGTGTCTCTTAGTTTGTCTTAATTAAATTTCTGAAAACAATTTTGAGTACTAGTACTTTTAAAGCTAATTTCCTTCACATTTCCTTCTGGATCACTGGCTATTGACTATACATCTCTATCTATCTATCTATCTATCTATCTATCTATCTATCTATCTATCTATCTCCAGATGCATTAACACTTGATTAATTTAGGTGAAATTCGCACTTACATATGGAAAATCCCAGAAAGATCTGGAGCTGGAAGAGAGGATTCTGCTTGCATTCCATGGGCATACTATTCAACTGTGGATCAAGTTAAGGTAAACTTTAAATCAGTTGTGTTCTGTGAAAAGTCCCAAAACAGACACACAGCGGAAGGAGGATGAAGTTACAGTTTTCCTGTGGCCCAATTCTGTGGTAAATTTCCAGGAAAGTAAGCTGCTCTGCAATTCACTTTGGTTTCTTTTTTTCTTTTCTTTTCTTTTCTTTTCTTTTCTTTTCTTTTCTTTTCTTTTCTTTTCTTTCTTTTATGGTTTGTTTTAAGGATACAGCTCTATCACTGCTGATTATGCGTAACGCAGATTTAAATAATAAACAATACAGTATTTTATTTTCCCTTCATATCAAAATAGATTAAACACAAAGAAGTGTCAGGTACTTGATTCCAGAGCTCTATTATTACATGGTAATAAAGAAAATGCTGGTCTTGCCAGTCAATCACAGCACAGCTAATGCTACTGTTTGAGTAAATACTTCAAAGCCAGTGAAACACTCAATAACGACAAATCGGACCAGGCCCCAGGTCTAGTCCAAATCTTTCCCCTGAGTTCCAGACTTATGTGAACACCTGCCAACTGAACATCTCTACCAGCGTGTCCCACAGGCACTGAAAACTCAGCAACTCTAATATGGAAATTGAGATCTTCCTCCACCTCCTCCTGTTGTAACAAATAGCACCATAAGCACCCAGTCTACTCAGTTGTTCAAACTAGAACTCTGGATATAAAGTATCTAATATTCCCCCTTAGCTCACCCAGGGCATTCACCCACCTACCTAGAACTCAGTCCCTTCCTTCTCTTCATCTCCATAGAGCAAGTCCTTGTAATTTACCTCAACTGCTTCAGTGGCCTCCTACTCTCCTGCCTCTCCTCCCTCCATGACTTCCTTCACTCCTCTGCCTGGATGACTAGTTTAAAATGCAAATATGCTGCCATTCCATGTTCAATTTTTCAATGGCTACCTATGTCCCACAAGACAAAATCTAAAATTTCTGAACATGATACGATTCAAATGTCCTTCAAGAACTAATCTGCCACTACCAATGCACAGCCAAACCTAACTTCTCGTGGATTTAAGTCAATTGTGGTCTTCTCTCTCTGTGTCCATTAGCGCTGCTCACACCTCCACCACAGCAAGTGGTTCATTTCTTGGATCCCTCTATCTTCCTTGTTAGACTGAGTTCCTGGAGGGCAGGGGCTTTGTACAATCCACATCTGGATTTTCAGTGATAGCGCTCGGCTTATGGAATAGGTAAATCACCACTGTTCATGTGGGATTTTTCTACATTGCTGCGCATTCGCTGAGCCAATATTTGGCCTCTGCCTCCACACAACCTTTGTTCACCATTATTCCAACTTAATAGCTTCAGGTGGAAAGTTACTGACTTGACAGCACCACTTTGGGCAAAATTTACTACCTAAATCAGTCCTTCCAAAATTCCTGAGGCCATGGGCAAAAAGGTCCCAGTTCTCTGAAATCCTGATCTGTATCACAAGGATGACTGAACTTTTTGCTTGTTTTCAGGATCTCTATAGTGGATTAATTGGCCCACTGATTGTTTGTCGGAGGCACTACATCAAAGTATACAATCCCATAAAGATACTGGAATTTTCCCTTCTGTTTTTAGTATTTGATGAGAATGAATCTTGGTACTTAGATGACAACATCAAAACATACTCTGATCATCCTGAGAAAGTAAAAAAAGATGATGACGAATTCATAGAAAGCAATAAAATGCACGGTATGATACATTATTCTAAAACCTTTTTTCCCCTTTTCTACTTTCAAATAAAATTACTCTAGAGACAATTCATTTGTTTCATTTTATAATGAATCACGTCTGCCTCACTTTGTGAGGTAGAAATTCTGTTCAAAGTAAAAAAGGGACTATATTCAAAATCATCTATTAACTTCTGTCCCAGTTCCAAAGTCTCATTCCCCCCCCCCTTTTCTTTTTAAGTTTTATTTATTTTTAAAGGGGAAGGGAGGGAAAAGGGAGAGAAGCGTCAATGTGTGGTTGCCTCTCTTGCGCCCCCTACTGGGGACCTGACCTGCAACCCAGGCATGTGCCCTGAATGGGACTTGAACCAGTGACCCCTTGCTTTGCAGTCCAGCGCTCAATCCACTGAGCCACAGCAGCCAGGGATCATTCCCTTCTAATTAAACTCAGATTTAGGATTAAGGCTTTTTGTGCTAAGTGACTATAAAAGCAGTGACATTATTGACCTTTAAGTATCCATTTCCCTCATCGGTCATGATAAAACCTATTACTTCAGAGAAGATCCCATTAATTAACCTAATAATCGTATTTTCTGTGAAATAGCTGTTGGTTTAAAATATACTGAAAGGTAATATAAAAATCATGTGCTTTCCTTAGCTATTAATGGAAGAATGTTTGGGAACCTGAAAGGCCTCACAATGCATGTGGGAGATGAAGTCAACTGGTATCTGATGGGAATGGGCAATGAAATAGACTTGCACTCGGTGCATTTCCATGGCCACAGCTTCCGATACCAGGTAAGAGCCATCCATGGTCATCGTTCTTGCTCTATTTGAAAATGTTTTAATACAAAGAAAATAGTTCCTCAGAGACTTATACAAAATTGGAAATTTCAAGAGATAACTATTTTCTTTTTTTAAATTAAAACAATTTACTTATATATTTTTAGAGAGAGGAGAAGGGAAGGAGAAAGGGAGGGAGGAACACATGGATCAGTTGGTTACCTCTCACACACACACACCCTGACCGGGGACCAGGCCTGCAACCCCAGCATGTGCCCTGAACTGGGAACTGAACCTGATAGCTAACCAGAGAGCTAACCATCCGCTTTGCCAGATGATGCACAACCAAATGAGCCACGCCAGTAAGGGCAAGAGATAACTATTTTCTAGCCTTACACCTGGGCCTCTCCCTGGGACTTGGGTCCCAGGGTTTGTTTTTCCTGGATTTTCGTGGAGTTCTGCTCAAATATTCCTGAACAAGGCCTTTGAAAGAAGTGTTTAGCAGAGAGGGTAGGAATGTTGATGTAATGATGAATTAGAGCTTGACTACAACCGTTGCTTGCTCTTAATTCTGGATCTCAAATGGCCTGCAGTGAACAAGATCATGAGTGTACTGTCGAGCAACTGGTACCTAGATCTCAACCCTGCTCCTTCTCACCAAGTGCTGATTTCAGCAGAAGCCAATTGCCCTTTTGGAATTACTTCACTTTTAGTTGATGTAGAAAATTCAGAAACTACCAAAAAGCACACTGCAGAAAAGGCCATTTTATTATCTGGTTTTATTTTATTTGGTTTAAATAGATGCTTTAGTCTTAGAAGACTTTTAATTCTGTCCCTAATAGAAATACTGCCAAGTACTTTGTGTCTAGTGAAGACTTTCCCTGAACTGCCTTGTGTTTTGGCTTTTCCATTGGCTTCCTTTTCTGCTCCCCTCATTTCCCTCCCTGCCCTAAAGTTTCATGGACAACCTAATCTAGGGGAGGGTCAGCAAGAGTGAGACTATGGCTGAAACTGGGCCACAGATCCGTTCCCTTGTGTAACACAAATGCTCTGGTAAAAAAGCAAACCAGAGCTGACGAGTAGTCAATAGGTAGTACCGATTGATGGCCACTTTCATCACACCTTTCCTTCACACTCACCTGACGGCCCGTAGTGCCAAGGCTTTAGCAGGAATTCAAGGAATAGGTAGCTCACTGTTTGTATTAAACAGAAATGTACAGGGGCTCCTTTTCTTTTCTTAGCAGATCCATTTTTCTAACATCCTTTGAGCAGGCCAATGAACAATTATTTGAATGAATTCTCACATATAATAAACATTATATAAATGTTTTTGTCATTTTTCTAATTAAGCACATGGGCATTTATAGTTCTGATGTCTTTGACGTTTTCCCTGGGACATACCAAACAGTAAAAATGTTTCCGACAACACTTGGAACCTGGTTACTGCACTGCCACGTAACTGACCACATTCATGCTGGAATGGAAACTACTTACACCGTTCTACCAAATCAAGGTAAATATCAAGTTGGTGATTCTAAAAGTCATACGTCACAAATATAATGCAGATGCACTACTTTGCCTAAATTCTTCTCCCAATATACCGCATTTGTTAATTGACTGTTCTTTCTTCCGTCTCTACCTCTGAACAGTTTGTTGTTTTTTGGTTTTTTTAACTGCTAAATGGTATGGGGTACTGCTTTTCTAACAACTGGTTCTGAAAACAGCACCAATCCTCTCTAATCTAGTACAAATTGACACCAATTTGATGCAGTGTAATTATACTTAAAATGAGAGCATTTTTTTTTAATTAAAAAAACTAACCATGGCTTACAGACACATTTAATTTCTTTCTTAAAAGAAGACGTTAACTTTTTTCCTAGGTATTACCTGGCCCAACCCCTGCCCCCAATCAACCCCCACCCCCCAATCAATTTAATTTCAAATGTGCAAACAGGCAGAATAGTGTCTTTCTTGGTTCTTGAGGGAGGGGGTATATTCTTGATTATCGTTTGTGGAAGACTGTCTTAGTTCGTTTGGGCTACTATAACAAAATACAAAACTGGGTAACTTATAAAGAACAGGCATTTATTTTCATAGTTCTGGAGGCTGCTAGTCAGGGTGCCAGCATGGTCGAATGAGGACCCTTTTCCAGATCACAGACTTCTTGTGTCCTCACATGGTAGACAGGTCAAGTTAGCTCTCTGGAGTCTCTTTAAAAAGGGGACAAATCTCATTCATGAGGTCTCTGCCCTCATGACTTAATCACTTCCCAGAGGCCCATCATCTTGGACATTAAGTTTTCAACATACAAAAATTTTTTTGTTGGGGGAGGAGAAGCAGGAGTGACACAGACATTCAGATCATAGCAAAGATCCAGGACAAAAAAAATGAGTATCTATTCCCTGCTCCCCCGACCCCAGCAGCAACACTCCGTCCCATGTAGGTACACACATGCAGACACACATGAATACACAGACACAGAGAATAAAGGCACAGGAAAACAAACAGCCCTTCTGTGGATAAACACTAACACAATGCACTGTATGAAAGGATGAAATCCCTGCTTTGTGGTTGCAGGCTTTGTTCCTTCCTAGGTCTTCTGAGTTTGGAATTGCTGGAACTGACGATGGCAAATCCAATAGGGGGAAATTAGGCAGAGAAAAGAACTTGTTTTTCCTTTTAAAATAGGTACAAAGGGAAAACATAAATTGAAGAAAATATAGAAATACATGTATTTCAAAAATTAAAAATCACTGAAAGATCAACTATTAGTGCAAACGAAAAGTTAATTTCTCCTGTTTCTTACATGAACATCTTGTACCATGAAAAACTACTTCCACTAAAACCCTTTATCACAAAGACGGGTAACTAGGAGCACCAGAACACCCAACGCTCAAACAGGCACATCAACTGCTGGGTTTAATGCCAGAAACTAATGAGCACAGTGAAAACTCAAAAATGAGAAAGAAAATATTAGTCTTTAAAGAATATTCACACACACATTTACCACACAGAAGGATAGCCTCACTCAGAAAAATAACCAAGAACAAGGGAAGAGTGAGATAGGAATTTCATGCATGCAAATAACCTGCATGCGGAGGATGCTGCTACAGGCTGGTCCTATACACAGACGAGAAAATCACTCCGCCTGATGGGCCTGGAGGAAGAGTGGGAGGCGACTGCTTGGTTAAGGGAGGGGAGATGGTTTTAAAAGCCATAGAGAAAACTGTAGAACAAATAGAAAGCGGGAAAGAGCAACACACGATGGAAAAAAAGATTAAAGAGAAATTTGGCATTTACAAAGAGAAAACTATTGTATGGGACTGAAAGAAGCAGTAACGAATAAAAAAGACAGTTTATACACAGAAAAACGAGGAGCCACATTTATCAGGCTGAATTATCGTTAAATAAAAATGTAATAAAGCATTTGGGCAAGTCTACATTAACTCTGAATCTCAGAAAATTTTCCTCCTGCCACGACACTGACAAGGGAGCCCTGGAGGTTAAGAGTGAAATCTTCCAGGATTACGCACCAAGAGAATCACAATTTCCTCCCTGCGCCCTCCGCCCACAAAGATGAGAGAATAATTGTGGATATCCTGTCATACTTAATGTAATACTTCATTTTCCCTACCAGAGGAAGCATAATAAAAACCTCCTATGGCAAATATAAGAAAGGGTACTTTTTTTTTTTAAGATTGACATGCTTATATGCTCTTGGAGCAGTCTGCAGGAAAAAAGCTTGTGTAGCTTTAAGTGCCTTATAGGCAGGGACTGTATATTCTGTATTTCTACAAAGTACCCAAATCCAATCCAATATTCCATTTGGAAAATATTTAAAGACATATTAATTCAATAAAAAAGGAATTCAAAAACTTTTTTGGACATAATGTCAGACTTATAGAAAAGTTACAAAAGCAGTACAAAAACAATCCCATATACCCTGCACCCTAAGCCTAACCCCCAAATGTTAATATTTTGCACAACCACATTTGCTTTTTCATTCTGTCTCCCTCTCTCTCCACACATACAATATACATATTGTAAATATATATTCATGTTTCCTAAAAATAAGGATATTCTCATACATAAACACACCTATCAAAATAAGGAAATTAAAAATGACCCAATACTAGACCCTTTTCAACTCGCCCCCAATTGTTCTGCATCATGTTCTTCATAGAAGAAAATCCCTCTAGTGCACTGTGACCAGCTGGCACACCTTCTCAGTCACCCCCAGTCTGGAACAGTTCCTTCGGTCTTTGTCTTTCACAACTTTCACATTTTTAAAGAATGTCCTCCAGTTTGGGTTTGTCTAATGTTTCCTCATGAGTAGACTCAGATTATGTATTTTTTTGGCAAGACTCTTACAGAAGTGATATTGTTTTTCTCAGAACACATGTCAAGAGGCAAAAGATGTTGATTTATTCCCTTTCTGGCTAACTTTGAGCATTTGATTAAGGAGTTGTCTGCCCAGGATTCTCCTTTGTAAAGTTACTCTTTTTTCCTTTATAATTTATAAGGATCGTTGCGGGGGGGGTTGGAGGGGGACTAATTTTCTTTAAACAAAGCAGTACTGGGATGAAAGGTGTATTTTTAAACATACAAACAGAAAAATATAAATGAATAAAAAATAAACAAAATTAGAATACACTTAAAAATTAGAATACATTTAAAGCATCATCAACTAATTTATTAAATCATATGGTATATACTATTTTAATAATGGTCCTAAAATTTCTTTTTCTATAGAGACCAAGTCTGGCTGAAAGCAATAAATTGGTGATAAGTGAAAAAAAATAATTCATTATAATGTCTGTGAAAGTGTTGACCAGAATGGTTACTTTGGAATGGCTATATGCATTGAAAAGACTGAAAACATGTACTTTCATGCATTTGTGGGAAAACTGTGTTACACTGTTTCACGTGAAAAGATCAAAAGACTATTATATGTGGCTGACTCTAATATACTAGGTTTTGTAATTGATTCATGTAGGCTATTCATATCACCATCATTGGGGCTTCACAAAACTGTATTTAAAAGAAAAATCTATGACCAGATGTTGTCCTGGATGGTCCTCAAAGAATCGCTATTTAAGATTTGTTGAAATGTTTCCAACCATTGGATTCCCCATCAATCTCTCTAATGTGCTGCTGACATCATTTCTAATGAACCAGTGGAAGTAGGGATACAGGAAGTAAAATTAAAAAGAAAATACAATAAAATAAAGTTATAAATAATGACATAAAAGTAAAATAAACGTAAAAATAAATGTTAAAAATAAAATTTAAAAATTCCAGATCTGAGGGGTTTTTTTGTAAATTTTATTGTTGTTCAAATACAGTTGTTCCAATTTTTTCCCCATTGCTCTCCCCTGCCCGACCCATCCCACCCCACCAGCTCCCACAGTCAATCCCCACCCTGTTGTCCATGTCCATGGGTCCTTTATACATGTTCCTTGACTTGCCCCTTCCCCATCTTTCCCCCATTATTCCCCTCTGGTCACTGTCAGTTTGTTCCTTATATACATGTCTCTGGTTCTCTTTTGCCCATTTGTTTTGTTTACTAGGTTCCACTTGTAGGTGAGACCATATGGTATTTGTCTTTCACTGCCTGGCCTGTTTCGCTCAACATAATACCCTCCAGTTCCATCCATGCTCTTGCAAAGGATAGGAGTTCCTTCTTTCTTTCTGCTGAATTATGTAAATGCACCAGTTTTTAGATCCACTCATTCACTGATGGGATCTTAGGCTCTTTCCAGCACTTGGCTATTGTAAATAACTGCTATGAACTTTGAGGTGCATAGGTTCTTTTGGTATTTCAGGATTCTTAAGGTATAATCCCAGCAGTGGGATCACTGGATCAAAAGGAAGTTCCATTTTTAGTTTTTCTGAGGAAATTCCATACTGTTTTCCATAGTGGCTGCACTTGTCTGCATTGTTGTTAACAGTGTACTAGGGTTCCCTTTTTTCAGCCCCTTGTCAGCAGTTATTTTTTGTTGATTTGTTGATGATGGCCATTCTGACAGGTGTGTAGTGGTATCTCACTGTGGTTTTAATTTGCATCTCTCCAGTGACTAGTGATGCTGAGCTCCTTTCATATGTCTCTGGGACAGGATTGTTTTTTTAATCCCTGACACAAGATTTGTTTATTGATTTCAGAGAGACAAGAGGGAGAAAGGGAGGGGGAGAGAGAGAAACATCATCCGGTTGCTGGTTGCCTCTCATATGCATCCCAACCGGGGATCAAACCCACAACCTAGGTATGTGCCCTGACCTAGGAGAGAACCCACAACTTTTGGTGTATGGGACGAGTCTCCAACCAACTGAGCCACCTGACCAAAGTCCAAATCTGAGTTTTATGAACCCTTGAAGAAATGGTCAAAAGGATATGAATCTGGAACTGGAGAAAGACAGAGTATAGAAATAATTTTATAGATTAAATCCTGATAAAGATAAATGTCAACAGGAGAAAAGTTTCAAAACATAGTTGTGGCAGATGTCTGGTGAGGAGCATTTTTTCTCAGCCTTAACTAAAGTCAAAGCATACTATCAATGAGCTGAACTTGGACTTAAAATTGTTTAATAAGAGGTTAAAAAAAAGACACAGTTGTGAATACAATGACATATCCCTTTATTTTCACATACAGTCTAGCTAAAAGAGCAAGAGTACACATGTACAAAAATGGAAATAATGTTTTGGCTGAAAAACATCCATTCAAACAGATCATGTTAATAGTCAGACAAGAAAGTTACTTTGTAACTTTCTTTGATTCAGAGACAAATGCAGCATGAGTTTTAAAAGTAACAAAAAAAATAAAGTTTGAAATGTTTTGTGTGAAATTTGTTTTAAAAAGTGACTGAATAGGAAAAACTGGAAAAATCAAGAAGATTAAATTCCGGACTACTTGGAGTGACATTGTTTCATAAATACTGGCAAAATTGTTCTCTGTGTTTCCGGGATGAAAAAGATTGTCATGTCTCCAACAACAGTAAATTGATGTTCCTTGAAATAAAAGTCAGTTTCTGCCTTTAAAAATATATGCCTTCTTTGAGGAAATTCTTACAGCTTGTAGCTTTTTTACATTCTGGGCAATTAAGTGCATTCAGGTAATAAATTATGAAATACCATTGCAAGGATAAGCAACCTGAAAGCATCTGAAATATATGTACATATTCAATGTGAAAATCCTTTATTTTTACCTTGCATTCAATTTTTAAAAATTCAGTCTCATACTCTATTTTGCTGAGTTTCAAATGATCCCTTCATGTCAATGATTTCTTTCGGCTGCAGTATAGAAGATAAGGCAAGAAAAATGCTGCAGCGCCATCTTCTGGAAGGACATTCAAGAAATCCCGTAGTTCTAGTTCCACAGCAACAACTGAGAGTGTTTCTGTTTGCAGGAAAGAATACCTGAGTTAGAACTAAATTTCTTTCATCCAATTCTCTTGTCAGTCAACTAGAAGCTAGTTCAGGTAACAAAATATTATCATTACAGAAGAAAACATAAATTGCCTCTTAAGTCGACTCTGTTTTTTGGTTTTACCACTTATTTCCAGAATCCTTTGAAATTTGTATTAGCCCCATGCAATTTGGATTTACTATTTCATTGCTAGGTTATTACAATATTTTTTCAATAAATTTCTGATTTATTATAAAAATACAATCATTTGAATACTATTTTTAATGGTAGAACTCTGCTAATTCAAAAAGATTGTTTGCTAGGACAGGAATTACTATTATTAATTGTTGGATAACATTTTCCTAAATCAGTTCCCCTCTGAGATTTTCATGTTATTAATAAGGACAAAGATGTTTTCATGACCACTTTACCTTTTTTTTTTCCAAGCAGCAAAATAATGAGCTCTAGTTAACATTTTAAATATTAAGGAATTTAGCAAACATTTTCATAAAGATGACTATGCAACTTTATGTTTCTATTGCATCCAAATACATATATGCTTCCTTCTGCTGGGAAGAGAAGAGGGTGACACTTAAGAATGATGTTCCCCAATAAACATACTTCAGTGCCACTCCCTGATCTTCACATGTCCATCACTTACTCTATTTGCCAAGTGACTGAAACAAATTTGCTCAGGTGTGTGTGCATCCATCCAAAGTTATCTGTCCAATAATCAGTAACCTAAATCACCCTTTCCACAAAGGAATGATATGCCCTTGTGTTGCTAAAAGTTAATGAATGGAACAGCAGTGATACTGGGAAAGATCCCTCGCTCTGAAATCAGACAGACCTGTCAGGGATCATACCCTTCTACCTACTCTCTGGTGACTTTAAGAAAGTCACTTAACCTCCTGAGTCCTAGTTCCATTATCTGTAATGTAGTATCATTTGCTAGCTTCCAGAGTCCTTTGAGAATTAAAATACAATGATGCACATCTAACATATAATAGAAACTCAATATTAACTATTATTTTGTAAAACCCAAGTGAAAAACATGAATTACCAATGTTTCCCTATCAAACAAGCTTATTTAGCCTGAATGTGGAGCCTATAAGTAGTATGCCACATACAAAAACACTGAGTTGGGGGGCCAGTACAGAGTAGTTATAGAGCCAACAACAAGGTCTTGCCACACCCAGTTCTCTCCTGCCAACCAGTGAGGGGCTAATACAGGTTATAACTCTAAGACCAGGATCAATATCTTAAATCCTCATAGTACCTTAAATCCTCCAGCATGCCTAGAAAATATTCATCAAATACTGAAACCAGTTATTTCTGGCTGGCGGTACTTTAAATGACTTTTTAAACTTTATTTTTATAATTTACTACAATAAGAATTTGTGATAATAAGCACAATTCATTATCAGAAAAACTAACATATTTCCTTGAAACAAATAAGCCAATTACTAACCTCCATTTCAATGGCTCTGCATTCATGCAAAAGCTCTCAACCAGTATGATTTTGCCCCCAGGGGATATCTGATTATGTCTGGAGACATTTCTCTTTGTCCTAACTGGGACAGTGCTATTGGTATTTATTAAGTAGAGGCCAGGGATGCTGCTCAGTATCCTAAAATGTACAGGAGACACTTACACCCCCCCCCCCCCCACAAATGATCGGGTCAAAAATGTCAATAGTGTCAAGGTTGAGAAACACTGTATTGGAGATATGACATCCAAGTTCCTAAGCATGTAAGTCCCTGACCTCCATCTCCAACCCTACCATCTTGCAATTTTGTTTGACATTTTACTCTAGAGTTATCCCAGAACTTCTCATCAGTCCCAGGATATTAAAAACTTGGCTTGCTTCAGGTCACTCAGTAAGTAGCAGACCTGGAACTCAGCTCTCATGTTCCAGGCTCCAACCCTGGTCGCTTCTCAGTGTACTACAGCTGCTTACAGAAAGATCGCCCTTGAAAATGGGTCTGAATTCAGATTCTGCCCTTTGAATCAATAAGTAGTTACAGAATGCTTTCTCAGGGCATATTGCTGGTAAGGGGTTGCAACATGAAACGTGACTAAACACTATACCAGTTCTTGAGGTACAGGCGTCTAATAAAGGTAAATCACACACAGCACGTAGTCCCATGAGCCATACACATATGTGTGTGTGTGTATACAAACACAGAGATATTTTGAAGATACAGAAAAATGGAACATTTAGAAGAATGATTATGAGTAAGTTAGGGGTAGAGAGTTTGTGAATGTGGATCAGCAAAGGATGAGAAGAAAACAAAAGGCAGTAAAATCTCAGCCATTTTTCACAGCACTATTTTTTCTGATCTATCGCCTCAGGCAAGGGAAACAAAAATAAATAAATAAACAAATGGACTACATCAAACTAAAAAGATTTTTCACAGCAAAGGAAACCATCAACGAAATGAAAAGTCAACCCACTGAATGGGAGAACATATTTGTCAATGATAAATCAGATAAGGGGTTAATATCCAAATTTTATAAAGAACACACATGCACACAAAAAAATCCAATTAAAAAATGGGCAAAGGACCTGAATAGACCCTTCTCCAAAGAGGCATACAGATGGCCAATAGACATGTAAAGAGATGCTCAATGTAATCATCAGAGAAATGCAAATTAAAACCACAAGAAGATATCATCTCACACCTGTGAGAATGGCTACCATCAATAAATCAACAAACAAGATTTGGCGAGGATGTGGAGAAATGGGAAAACTCATGCACTACTGGTGAGAATATAGACTGGTGCTGCCACTGTGGAAAGCAGTATGGAGTTATTTCAGAACATTAAAAATGGAACTGCTTTATGACCCAGCGATGCTACTTCTGGGAATATATCCTAAGGATCCCCAAATTTGAAAGACTGGATGCACCCCTATGTTCATTGCAGCATTACTTAAAATAGCCAAGATGTGGAAACAGCCCAAGTGTCCAGCAGATGAGTGGATAAAAAAGCTGTGGTACATTTACATAATGGAATACTACTCCACTGTAAAGAAGGAAATATTACCCTTTGCAACTGCACAGATGAACCTGGAGATTATCATGCTAAATGAAATAAGCCAGTAAGAGAAGGAAAAGTACCACATGATTTCATTCATATGTGGAATCTAATGAACAAAATAAACTAACAAACAGAAAAGAAACAGACTCATTGAGAACAGACTGACAGCTGTCAGAGAGAGGCCTTGGGGGGCTGGGTGGAAAAGGTAAAGGGATTAAGCAAAGAAACAAAATAACCCCTTATATACAAAGACAATATTATGGTGATTACCAGAGGGGAAGGGGATGAAGAGGTACAAGAGGGTAAATGGGGAGGAAATGGTGATGGAAGGAGGCTTAACTTGGGGTGGTGAACACACAATATAATATACAGATGACGTATTATAGAACTGTACACTTGAAACCTATATACTTTCATTAACTACTGTCACCCCAATAAATTCAATAAAAAGAGGATGAAAAAAGAGTCTTTTGAGTAAACTAGTGATATAACTGAGGGGCAAAGATGTGAGCTATTTGCTCTAAAAAGTGATCCACTAACACAAATGATCAGTTCAAAGTCCTGAGATAAATTTGATGTGGGTGGGCAGGGCAATCAAACACCTGTTACTTTCATCTTCTGAAAACCAAAAATCAGTCAGAGAGATGGTTAGGACAGAAAGGTAGTACAAAGTCACCACCTCCCAATCACGAATGGGGATTTTCAGAAACACCTTCCAAGGGCCACTGGCTCTGCCTAACACTTTACAAATCAATTACCTCTGCTGGAAAACACAGTTCCAACACTGTCAATTTCTAATATTTTATGCATACTGAAATCAATGTAACCATACCATCTGTCATTAGGCCAACAATTAACTAATGATATTAACACACAAGAGTAGAGAGCTTGATAACCACACATTTATTAAGATTTACAAATGATTATGAATTATGAAAATTCAAATAACTACTAATGCTGTAAAATACTGCATAATTTAGAGACACTCAACTTTGAAATCCTTGAGAACCTTGTCATTCCTTAATACTTAACTTACAACTATGATTAATAATGATAATCATCTTAATTTCCTACAGGTAGTAAATTAAGCACTGAGATCACTAATAAGAATGTAATAGTCTTAATGAAAATTCAAATTTTCAAAATACTGAGGTTGTAAGTTCCTATGATGGTGATAATGTGTTAAGTGTTTGAAAAGATTAACTTAAAAGCATCGGCTCTATAGCTAAAAGAGATAAACGAATATCAAATATGATGGGGGAGCATATGAATGCTGAAAATATGCTCTCCAGAGGATTCTAAGAGCCTCTTCACCTCACTTGAGAATCACATAAAAACTAGAGAAAGCAAATCTTCAACAAATTATGCAAACTAAAACTAGGATGCAATTAAATTTATAATCAAGCAAAAATGATCATTTTACCTTTTAACAATGACAGGTACAGTTGATATTTCTCTCCACTGCATTTTATTCTGTGACAAAGTTCAGGCAGCAGTTTTTTCCACCACAAAGTCTATCTTAGAAAAAAATGAATAAATTTTAAGTTTGATGCATTTTACAGTATGTTCCCAAAAAGAATAAGAAAATCATGCAGGAAAGTACAGGGCAAAAAAACCCAGCATTTTGGTTAAGGCAGTTATAACAGAAGTTGTATCAGCAGCCAGTCTTCTGCTAAAACTATAACATAAAAATCAGAGTTGTAGCTTGAAAATCTAATAATATGTATATTGTACATGTGTACATGGCTATTTTCAAAAAGAAACGTAAGCATAGCCTGGGTTATCTCTTAGGTGGCAAGAAGGAAAGAAAAAGCACTCCAGTCTGAAGCTCTAATTCTCAACTAAAGACCATGTAGCCCAGAAAATGCTTTCCCGCCACCATTGTTTCCCAGATCTTCATAGCCTACTTCAGTTTCAAATGAGAGGTTTTCAATGAAGATAACACACCATCACCATACATTTTAAAAGCCTCTACCAGTATTCAAAACACACAACATGTTAAATATATATACTAATTTGACCTGCACAGTCCTGGGAAGCTGGGCTGCCACAATTTGTCCCTATTTCGCAGATAAGGGAACAAGATGATCAAATCTGATTATCACTGATAGAGCCTAAAAAAACATAATCTGAAAAGCATACCCGATTCCCTTCTTTCAGTTCATGATTAGCATATGGAATAACGGCCTCCGGGCACCTCTCTAGCAGTGTGTCTATGCACTGCTCATACTCTTTCAGACGCGTACGACACAGAACCTGGATGCTGAGGCCAGCAACAGTGTCTTCTGAGAGTGGTTCCAGGAACGAAACAATGGAAGCTATGTCAAATGAAGGACCACACATAAGAGACTATGAACAGAAAAGTAAAAGGTTATGGAATGAAGCACCCAAAAATCTAAAAGCACAAAACATAAAGACAATTTTTAAAGAACACTATAAACCTCACTTGTCAAAAAAAGGAAGATGCAATTTTAGAGAACATGCGTATGATATTTATTAAGTGGAGTAAAATATTAAATAATATTTAAACCACATCTAGTTTAAAGAGTAACAATCTGTTTGATAGAAAGCAATTATTTTAAAAAATAACATGATTTTATTTGCTTTGGATAGACTGCACTTTAAAACTAATGGGAATCCTTTAGGACTCTATCCTACAACATCATGGTCAAAGATTTGTTCAATGATGTTCATCACAAGAGTATTTAAAATACTGAAAAACAAGAAGCAACATAAATGCTACACAAAAAGGAATCAGTAAATTATGGTACATTTGTATGATAGAATATTGTAAAAGCTACTTAATGACAAAATACTCATGATAAAATTATATGTAAAAAAGTTGCAATACAAAATTATGTTCAGGATATAACCAGTTTTGTGCAACCTACATAGATAGCTACATACACATATAGAAATGCCTTTGGAAGAGCCCAGAACCTGAACAGGGATCAATGAATGGAGGACTAAACCTGCCTGGGTTTTTTTTCCTATATTTTCCAAAGTTTTTATAATAAGCATATTATATATATATCCAAAACTAAAATTTAACATTTTAAGAAAACCAAAGCAATTGTGAAGAACCTAATAATTTGTATCAACACCATTTGCCCCAAGTTGAATAACAGCGCAGGTACTATTTCAGTATACAGAACTGTAATCAATATTTTACTTTCAGGCATTTAAACTATAAATACAGTTGACACTTAGCAATGCATATTTGAACTGCACAGGTCCACTTACATGGTTTTTTCAATTGACCCACAGTTAAAACCTGAGTTGTTCAAGGGTCAACTGGCAGCTGGGAATGCCAAGGGCCAACCTAAATTATATGTGCATTTTCCACTGTGCAGGCAGCTGGTGACCCTAACCCATACAACGTTCAAGAGCCAATTGTACTGCTTTTGATTCTACCACCAAAATAATACCCATTTTCCTTTTCTTCTGGATAAAGATGCAATGATCATATACTGATTTTCTTCCTCCTAAATCCTTTTTGCTACAGCTTCTCAGGCTCACAGGAGGATATGGAATTTGAACTATCTATTTACAGTCAGCATGATTATTTTACTCCAAATTTCTACCAAGGAATGGCTGAACGAATAAGGTTGGTCCCTTTCCTTCCTGTAAGTTTAATAATCAACTTCATTTGAATAATTTCCTGACAAAAAGATAGCAAACATGAAAAAGGTGATAATCTGCCACTTACAGGACCTCCCAACATAAAAGAAAACACAGATTATTTCTATATTCAACTTCTGATTACTAGATACAAAGGGCCAGTTAGGAAGGAGCAAGGCATGGGTAACACAAACCATGGTTACAATGAAACTAGTCAAAGCTTGCTATAAAATGGATTATCCATGAACTTTCGCTTCATTTTATCCATATCATCAAGAAGTTTAAAAATAAAAAACACCAAACACACAAAAATTACTAAATTTAAATTTTAAAGGTTGCTACTACTCTTTAAAATAATGCAGACTTTAAAATACTTCTTAGCAGACTGCTCCTTTTTTTTCATTGTATTTTACTGTTTATGCTATTAACATTGTCCCACTTTTCTCCCTTTGCCCTCCTCCACTGAGCCCCTCCTCAGGCAATCCCCATATCGTTATCCATGTCCGTGAGTCATGCATCTATATGTTCTTTGGCTAATCTCTTCACCTTCTTTCATCCAGTCGCTCCCTTTCCCCTCCAATAGCTGTCATCTGTTCCACGTATCCATGCCTCTGTTTCTATTTTGTTCATTAGTTTATTTTGTTCATTAGATTCCACATATAAGTAAGATCATATGGTGGTTGTCTTTCACTGATTGGCTAATTTCACTTAGCATAAGAGTCTCCAGGTCCATCCATGCTGTGGCAAAAGGTAAGAGTTCCTTCCCTTTTTTACTGCTGCGTAGTATTCCATTGTCTTATCCATTACATCCATTCCATTTTTTATCTCCTCATCTACTGATGGACGCTTAGGTTGCTTCTAGATCTCGGCTATTGTAAATAATATGAACAGAGGGGTGCATTTTTTTTTTGTACTGGTATGTAAGGATTCTTAGGATATATTCCCCAAAGTGAAATAGCTGGGTCAAAGGGAATTGCAACAGACTGCTCCTTTCTTTTTTAAATATTGGAAATGGATGCCTCTCCACCCCCAAACACAAGCACTATTCATCCCCTTCTCTAACCTAGATCCCTCACCCTCAGCCAACTCTGCAGGGCTGGAACCCAGACTTCTCTGCTCCTCTACCTATATAATCAACTGCCACTCTGCTGAGGTGGTTGGCAAGGAGGTATGAGGGCCCACGACAATTTTGGCAAAGGGCAGAGCATTTACTAGTTACTGTGTCATTTCAAATAACAGCTTTTTTGACATGTAGATGATTTCTATATTGTTTTTATTTTAATTTTTTGCAATATAAGTATATTAAACTTATATAATATAGTGACTGAGAACAAGATACATCAAGTCTGTGCAGTGGTGGTTCTGAACCTCCTCATTCCTCTAGGGGAGAACCACATGAAATAGAAATCTTTTTGTTTTTTGAGGGTTATTTTGTTCTAAATGACTAGGACTGATGACTCATAGGTAATCTGGAAAGAGCTATAGTCAGGAAAACTATTCTAAGAAGTTCAGGCGTACTACATTTCCACCCTTCAACAGAAGACTCTCAGAAAGAACCTACCCTTTTTAAATACTTTAAAATGGACTTTAAAAGACCACTAAATTATACTTTTTCAATCAGTGACTACAAATATGCTTTGTAGCTTTATCAGGTGAGATTTAACAGCACTTGTTACAATTATGATTTTAAATATGTAATTAAATATGTAGTATGTTTCAGGAAAGCAAATATGTGACATGGGCCTTGTCCAATGCTATATACATTTATAGCTCATGTTCAAGGAATACCTGTAAAAGAAACAAATCCAAGGCTCAGTAGCCTCTATATCATAAGGTACTAAAGAGAAAACCAACAAGAATCATCTTTGTTGATTTTTTTAAGACTGTAAGTAACTCCACTTCCAAAGACAACACAGGCTATCTAGGCTGTCTAAGCAATATCATCTCTTGAGCTTCCCTCCTGACGCCTGACCCCAATTTTGGTTTCCATAAGCGGAACAACACTTACACCCTGTTCCCAGTGTAAATCAGGGGTTGCAAACTCAAAAACCTGAAGAGGCCAAAAGGCAGCTGGGTATATGGTAAACGGACACCATACATTCAGGACCTGGATCAAGAAGACACCGAGATGAGAAGTGTGGCAGGCAAGACAGCGTGAGCCCCGCTCCGGGAGCCGCCAGTTGACTCAAACCTGCAGGTCTCGGGCAATGAGACCCAGGGTTACAGTTCTGCTGAACTTTTCAAGAGAAACTTGAAACTCCAATTATTAACCTAAAATGTCAATATTTTTATGTTGGTAGATTCTCTGGGCAGACCAAATAAAACAGATTTGGAGGTTCTATTTGGTCCCTGACCACTAAACTACGTTAAACAAAATCACATCCATCACATCAGCCCAACCTGATCCACAAGTCAAATGTAGGCTTTATTCCTCATTTCCAGTCAAAACACTGTCACAGTTAGAATTCCTGCAGGATGATCTATATTCTCCGATTATATTTCCTACTTTTAAATAAAGTCCTTTTCAGGAGCCAGATAAACTGCCTACTTTGACTTACTTCCTATAAAACAGATAAGAGTGGCTAGATTGGGCTAGAGCCCTAAAGTGTATGAGTGAAGACTAAAACAAACATGAATCACATTAATAAAACCCTGCTAAACATTTGCCCATGTGCATTTCGCAAAGTGTTTTCAAGCACATGCCGAAAGAGGCAAGACAGTCAGGTGACTCTGATGGCCACTTGTTCGAGGCGCCCGATCCAGCCCGGGCAGCGGTTTCAGGCAGCGGCGGGTGTTCCGTCAGGGCTCCTGGGCCTGCCTAATAGTGGATTTTGTCCCTTAAGATTATACACTCTAGATTAACGGAAGACCTGAGGTCTTACCAAATGTTTATCCTACATTACAGTATAATAAAGAGGCATTTTTATTTACCTGTAATTTGGAGAGATCTTCTGTATAATTTTTGTCAGCTAAGGAATCAGATGATATTAAGACATTAACCCATGGATAGATTAAGCCATAATGACTACAGGCATTTATCTAAAATGTAAAAGAAATAAACATAAACAAAATACATCAAAGCAAGATGTTCTTTCTTTCTTCAAAAAAGAGCAAGCAATCACAAATCCTCAGCCATGTCAGAGAATTAAGTATATACTTTCCTGGGAATAGAAAGGGAAGTCTTTTAGAATCTACTCCCCTGGAAAAAGTTTCAGCCTTCCTACTTCTCACTGAAAAAATATGCACTAAATATTTCCTAATACCTTAAATTTTAAAATATTCCAAGGAGGCAATTTCTAGCAAAAAAAAAAAAAAAAGCAATAGTGCTTTTGAGCCGATTATACTAAAAAAAAAGGTCATAGTAATACTGGAAATAATCTTTTATTTCTACTACTTTCGTTGGGAGACAAAACCTCTTCCATAAGTTCTCAAGGTAATCCCCATAAAGGCCCCTTATTGGAGAAGTTGGTGATGTTCCAGTTAGCTGTGGCATCAATAAGAGGCAAAGGCACTGGGAGAGGAGGGAGGAGGAGGGTCACAGCCGTGGTGGGGGCTGCTGTGCAGGCTACAGAAGAGCTGTGAGTGTCCAGTCCCCTCCCACTAGCCTTCTGCCGGTCCTCACCCCTAAGTGGGCCCAGAGATGTCTCCTTCCTCATGTTCTACTTCATGACCATCCCCTGAGGGAGCTGACACATGTCTGGCAAAGCCCCTTCCTTCATGTTTTGGTTACTGAGCTACCACTGCAAGAGTAATAGACAAGCAGTAGGGGTACTCCTTAGAATATAAAATTATTTTCAATGTGGGCCACTTTACCCATGGACAAGTCTTCAGTGTATTTCAAAATCCTGCTTAAAAAAAATATCCAGTATCATAAATTAGGTTTGACTCAAAGCCATTAAAAATAAGAAGGTACATTATTGTAATATGTAATGTATTATTCTATTGTCTTACCAGATCCTTTGATGTTCGCAATGGTACGGTGTCAGGGGGCTGCCTCTTTGATAATCTCCAGATGTACTGTGATGTGAGCTTGAAAAAGAGTTCCTGCAGTAGCACATCTGGGAGACACGCTACCATCTGAGCTTCCCAAAAGTCTACTAAGAGCTGAGGAATCGTATCTCCATCCTTACCACAAAGCACCTTGAAAACAGTGAAACAAGCCCCCATATCACAGATAAATATCGTATTGATAAAGTTCAGCTGGTCTGAGCAGCACTCCATCATGTGGGCCATGCATTTAATAATTTATCATTAGCATTAGTGCCATGGCAAAGCAAATTTAGACATTTTAACAGGAAACAGATTTAGATTGCACGAATAAAATTTTTTAGATATATTCTTTTATACTCTATAAACTTTTATAAATTGGTTATGTTGAAGTTCATTTCTTTTCAATAAACAAATGAAAACTCACTTATTTTATTCTGCTCCCTGCCTCCTACCAATTTTATCAAGACACCTAGAACAGTTAACATTTTCAAAGTGACAAACCTTAAAGAAGGAATCTGCTTCTTCGATTCCAATTTTGTTGTTCTTCTGTAAGCTCAGGACTGAAGCCACAAGCAATCCAGGCTGAGTCTCCTTCAGGTGAACTGCAAGCTCAGTTGGAAAAATCTGTCCCTTTTGTTGAATCAATAGCCGAGGTTCAAGAGTAAATCCATAAACCAACTTCATCTTAACATAAAGAAAAGACATTTAGGAACAAAATGTACATTGTATTCATCTTGGAAATACATGCTAGTATATTCAAAATTCATGGCTAAACTACTAATAATTTACTTTAATCTCAATATTTTCTTTAACTACAAAGACCAGTTCTTACTCTAAGAAGAATATCATTGTTAACTGTCGTCACAGAAGTTATTAATATTTAATTAAGCATAAAAATGCCCTATTTTTGGAGAGAGCTTTATATTTAAGTGCACTTAAGTTAACAATAATATACCTTAGCTTTTTCAAAATTATGGAAAGAAAATTCATCTTTCTAGAATTCTACTCTTCAAAGCAAAGGATACCTCAATATCGATTGATTCTTCTCACCATAACAAAATGTGTCATTCATACAGTGATAAAGCACTCCTGCTCTTCTTGTTTTAGAAACCAAAGTCATTCTGTGGGTATCTGACCACAGTTGGGCAGTAAGACAACAGTAAAGGAGCAAAGGATCTGAAGCCAGGCTGCTTGCTTTAAATCCTGGCTCTACTATTCACCAGCAGTGTGATCTTAAACAAGCTATTTAACCTCACCTGTAGAGTAGGTATAATTATAACATCTATCTTGTAATATCATTGCAAGAATTAAATGAGAGAATACAAGCAAGGGGCTTAGACTAGACCTGGGACATAATAAGTGCTCAGTTAATGTCACCTCTTAATTTCTTCCTGTAATGATTAACATCTTTGGCTCATGCCCCTAAATGGCCTCTCCTCTAAGGGAAAGCTAACCTTTTTTTGCTATACCATTCAAACGTCTAATTCTCCACATAATCCTTTGTTATTTTCCCAAGTGCAGGCTATTCCTGCAACCACTGGACTCCTAAGGCTCACAGTTAATATCCTACTTGTTCCACCTGAATACACTTCACTTTGTTTTCGGTGGGCATGCCATTCTTTCACGCCGACTATCAGCCCAGGGCAGAGCCTATATATTCCCATGCTCTGAATGTACCTGACACTAAGGTGAAACATCTTTTGATACCCACTGCTGCCACTTACAATTCTTTCTCATTTGCCAGATTCAAAGGCCAAGCACTTCCACTTTGGGTCACTTCCTTTCTAGTATCAAGTCTAATTTCCTTTACAACAAAGAAGGAAGGAGCTAGACAGAAGCCAGAAGAAAGCTAAACACCTCAGGACTACAAGGTCCTATTGCAGCCTACTTTTAACACCAGGTGGGGCACCGTACCTCTGAATGGCTTTGCATTTCATTTCTGTACGTGTCAAGATCTCCCATTTTCAGAGCCATTGCTGCCTTGGTCAATGTCACTAAGACTGATGAAAACCCAGAAGTATCCAGTTTCCTCAGATAGTTCATGGCAGTTAAAGGATTAATATTCTTCATAGAAGGACTACAGAGAACATGGGGTAGTTGCTTTGGCTCAGCCACATGAAACATCTTAACCACTTTTACTGCTAATTCCTTTGGTGAGCAAGAACAAGAAACAAATGTCAGCCAGCCAGTCGAAAACAACAAAAGCAGGGGGAAAAAGACACACCCAAGATACAACATTCCAATTAAAATAAAATTACAGTATTATGTTTTGATTTAAAAAGACAGAGTTGATGGGGATAATGTGGGAGACCCCAGATGGCCTGAAGTAATCTCTTTGCCGAGTAAAAATGAGGAAAAAGCAGTGAAAATATGTACAAAATTGTGGCCAACACTTCTAATTTTAACGAGCATTCAGAAGAAGAAAATAAATATTGGATTGAATTATACTCAGAATTCCAGTGTAAAAAATTACAGCTAGTACAAAATACACTTAATGGGATAATTTATGATAAAATTTCATTTCACTCAGAATCTTAAAACATGTGGTATCATGGTATCTAACTGCATATCTGTATTCATCTCCTTTCAAAAATACATGAGGGACTAAAAATAACCCTTAATAGTATGTTCGTGTCACAAGGCCAGGGTATTGTACGTGCAGCTCTGGACACTCGGGAAGGAGGCTGAGAAGGGCTGCGGAGAGAAGGCAGGCTAGGCCCACATTCGGCATCATTTTTCTGAAGGCACCATCTGTTATGTTGGGCAGGTCACTCAGGCACAATGGACCCTATTCCTCATGTATATAATAAGAAAGTAAGAGAAGATGGTTATAAATTCCTTTCCAAGCTATAATTCTATAATAATTAATGAAAAAAAAAGGCACATTAGTTACCTTTTTAAGAAAAGAAACTATACCAAAGAAAAGTCTTTGTAACTTAGCTTCTGAATGGTATTACATAAAATAAATTGCTAAAACGAGAAGTTAAAAATATTACATATAACTAAATAGAAAACTCTATTCACTTCACTTAATTCTTCATCCAGGTTTTCATAAAGTGAATGACTAATGTAAAAGATTAGTCCCCGCTCATATTTCTGTGTTCCATCCTCTTCTGCCCAGTCCACTCGAGCCAAAACGTCAGCCATAGATAAACCAGACATCTTATAGTAGGGCAAGGCAAGGTGGGACTGCTGGGTGTCAAGCCTGAAGAAAAGGAAGCAAAGAAACCTCAAATTTGTCATATTTAAGCCAGCTTATCTAACACATTTGATAATAAAACATACCATGCTTTCCAGATGACATAAATCTCAAAATACTTTTCTACTGTCATTCGCTGTTGAAACAAGCTCCTAAGTTTAATTCTGCAAAGTCATTCTAATTAATGTGGTTCGTTTTGCTTGGTCACAATAAAAATAGGAAAAAAACCATTAAATGAATTTTATTTTCATAATGGTGTTGATAGGTAGGGAAAGTCTATTTTATTAATTTATAATCATTCCCAAGGGTCAAGTAAGCCTTTGAAATAATCATATACAAAACAATTTGTAAACATCATTCTCAGACATAAAAATCTCTGTAACAGTGTCCTTTTTTGACATCATAAAAACATTGACTACTAAGGCTAAAATAACTGAGTGTCCAACTGGTATCTCTCTCTTAAAGTTCATAGGGAATGAACTAGTAATACAGCCGTCTCAGGGATTTTCACTGGTCATATCCCCCCACTCCAGCTCAAGGTCTGGAAAAAACTTCAAATTCATAAATTAAGTGTTGGGAGACTCATGACCTTGAGACCCTCCGCTTACCTAATGCATTGTAACTTCTTGAGGGCAGGTCACATTCATCTTTATATTTCTAAGCTTAGCACCATACCTGGCACACAGTATGTGCTCAATTAAATAAATGAGCTCCCTCTCCTCATGCATACCATTTATCAGGTAACTACCAGAGATGGAAAAGCTAGCAAGTGCACACAAAGCTAAAGGTGGCTTCTCTAACGAGTTTCCAAGAAGCATCATCAACCTGCTGTAGCAGTCTCCAAGGTGCCCACAGCTTTCTTTAAATGCTTCTAAAAGCTCCGCTTTTTCTCCAGGTCCCAGCTGACCGGCATCCAGCAGAGCAGCTCTCACTAACAGATGAGCCTCGCTAAGAAGGTGGATGCAGCTCTGGGTTTTTGTAGTCCTGTAGGTATTACTGTAGTCTACCTAAAATAAAAAGGCAAACAGCTAATGCTGCAGCAGAAAGACTCTAAAAGTTTCCCAGTTCTTAAGAATAGCTATCTATTTTGTTAGTAAAGTTAATATTTGGACACGTTAAATCCTAAAAAATAAAAAAATGGTTATTTGTCATTCTGACAGTGCTTAGCTACAATGTCCCTGCCACCCGCCCAATCTATGAGCCAGTTTTATACACACAGCTGTAAACACTCCTTTGTTAAACAACACACATCATTAGAAAATGTACAAATACTCCTACAATACTAATTACTATTAAAAATAAAGCAAATGAAAATATCTGGAATAGTTAAATTTTTTAAAAAGCTCTATGATTTAAACCTTTCTCAAATTCAGACTCAGTAGCCCTCCTTTTAGTTTCAATTGGTGGATTCAGAATCTAGTACATCTATTTCTGTAACTTGCAGTGGGCTTATAAAAATTATCACTAGCTATCTAAGTGAATATGTATTTTCAGGCTCCAGGAGGCAAATCATTTAGATGAAGCCTAAGACTTTCAATTAAGCAAAACTAAAAAGACAAAGCAAAGCTGATATAATTCTCAGCATTGAGATGCCAGGGACAAATCAGGTAAAACCTTGACATTATAATCAAAATTAACATCACCAACGAGGGGCAGATGGGTATAATGCACCCTCCAATGGCACACCCCCGAGAAACACACTAAACATCACTGTATCACCTGTGCAATATTCTGACCAAGAAGAAGATATAAGCTAATCATTAAAAAATTTTAAGAAGTTGAAAGGGGAAAATATATTTTTCAAAACTGTTTATGTCATTAAAAAAAAAGAAAAAAGAAAGGCTGTGAACATAGTTCAGACTAAAGGAGGCTAACGAGACATGACAAATACGCTACCTGATGCTAGAATGGATCCTGTATGGGAGTGGGGGAAAGGCTGTTAGACCATTACTAGGTCAACTGACAAAAATGAAACATCAACCACAGACTAAAGTATTTTTTCAATGTTAAATTTACTGAAGCATATGACTGCCCTGTGGTTGTATAAGCAAATATCGTCATTCTTAGGAAACACTCACTGAAGTATTTAGCCGTAGACTATGATCTATGCAATTTATTTTCAAAGGATCAGAAAACAATGTGTGTGTTTGTGTGTGTGTGTAGGAAATGTGAGAGTTCTAGAGAGAGAGAGGGAGAAGCAAGAGGAGTATAATGTTGACTCAGGGTAAATCTGTGTAGGGAATATGCAGGTTTTATATGTATACTATTCTTTTTCTTGTAATTTTTCTGTAAGTTTGAAACTATATATTTCAAAATACAGCTTAAAAAATTACAGGAAAGAGTTGGCAGCTGTCATTTTTAGAAAAGGAAGAAGAATGCCCTCTCACAGGACAATGCTACAGGTGCTTCCGTGCCCAGGGACAACCTGCTGATATTTCAAAAAAGAGCGACACAGTGATAACTGGTCTAAGATTTCTTTCAACTCCATTTCATGGTTTTCTTTGCTAGGGTTCAAGGTAAAGGTCAAAGGCTATTTATATTTAGATTGGTTAACTGATCTTAATAGGAAGATGGCATGAACATGAGAATCTTATTTTAGTGAAGGCAATTTCTACTGGCTCCTCAAATGTCAGGAGCTGGGAAAACAAGAAGTTGGAGAAAGATACACACTCCATCGTCAGATAGCTCCTAAGCTGGTGGGTGTGGCATTTTGAATGTAAGATAATTAGAATCCATTTTTGGTCACCAATTCTGCTCTATATTTCTACAAATAAGAATCAGAAGTCTGAAAAGAGTACCATTTCTCTGAATAGTTGCACTGGTGAGGTCGTATTCACAATATACAAATTCCACCCAGCCTCAGCGACAGGAGGTGTTTTCGGCTTAAGACTGGTACCTTTTCTAGAACTAAAGGCAAAGAAAAGGACAAGAACTATAAGATAAACCATGTTATAAATAAATGGCAATTTTAAATGGTAAACAGTTGATACCTAAAGTAATATAACTATGAAATCATTTTCATTTAGTATTTTCTTCAGTGTTCACTGTGCAGCTGATTATACAGTATTATTTGTTCACAATGCTACACAGGTCTACAACATTTAACATTCTACAATTCATGAACTGATAAGCCAATCACTTAAAATTCATTCCAACAGTATTCTTAAATAGGCAATAAATGGGCAATAAGCTCAAAGAACAGGCAAGAGCCCTCACAAGGGAGAGAAACTCGGCTGTGGAAGCTTGGATCTCTACGTATGTAGTCTCCATGAGTCCAGCATGCCCTACATCACGACTCTAAGCAGAAGCTCCAACAGAGAAACACTCAAAGTGCTCATGGCTGAGAAAATGCAAAAAACACATAGGACTGCTCGTTTGCTTAATGCACTATCTTGTCTTTGCTTTCACTATGTGATGCATTTTCTGTGATATACAAACATTTTAAAACACAGACCTTTTGACCATATGAATTTTCAAATAAACTAGAATTTTTAAAAATCATTTAAAATACATAACACATTACAAACATCAAATGTGCAAGATTACAAGTTGTTTTTCCTCTCCCTAGAAGCCTTTAGACCAGTCAGACCACTCTAAACTCTCTAAATGATCACTTAAGCAAGTCAACCCATTTATTCCTTTTGATGTAACAAGTACAGGCACAAGCAATTCAAAAAAGCAAAAACTTATGTTAAAAACAAAAACCAATGTTTGACATGACATACATTATATGTTTCTTCCCCTAAATCAGATTTCTTACCTGATTAAGTTTTCCATATAGAAATGTTCAAGTTAGATTGCATTTCCTACCCAAGTTCACAGTACAGAAAACATCAAATGAAATACCGTTTGGCCATAAAAAAGAAGAAAATTTTACCCTTTGCAACAGCGTGGATGTACTTGGAGAACATTATGCTAAGTGAAATAAGCCAGTGACAGAAAGACAAGTACTGTATGATTTCACTTATATGTGGAATCTAATGAACAAACTAAACTAATAAGCAAAACAGACAGACTCCTAGATAGAGAGCAGGCTGACACCTCTGGGCAGGAGTGGGGGTGGTGAGGGGGTGGAGGGATTGAGCAGAAAGGAAAAAGGGCTCATGGACATGGACAACAGTGTGGGGACTGGGGCGTGGGGAGAAAGGGGTATATGGGGGACAAATGGGAAAAAATACAATAAAAAAGAAAGATAAGAAAACAGAGAGAGAGAATGCATTTCCATAAAAAAGAAAACACCAAACAGAAGCATTAGTCTGAAATTAAGCATTCTAAACAACGTGGAAACAGAAAACCAAAGCTTCAAACAGAGCTTAGTGTTACCAAATTGCAGTTCTATCTTAAGTCAAATCAGAATGTATCTATACATCATGAATGTGATTTAAGGTAAGAAACACATCGTTAATTTCTTTTCAATTGAAATACAAGAAAATAATCTTGTAGTTTGGGTTGGCACTGGAGGCCCTGTCTTTCCCATTAATTACACAGAAAAGCATGTCCTATAATTTCTTATCTAAAATACCAGATTTTTTTAAACTATTTTGTAATTCATTTTCTTCTAAAAGTTGCAAGGTCAATTATAAAGGATACTATAGAGATCACTAAAACCTTACTTTCTTTTCTTGGAAAAAGAACACCATAGAAAAGCCACCTGATGATTCAAAGTTTTGATTTAAAAAAACACAAAAGATGTACACAAGATACACCAATAACAATTCAGTCAAGAACTTTGGCAGGAATATCTGGGGAAAAGGGGTGCTTACAGGAGCCTCTTGGGTGAATCTCTCCTCTCTGGAATGGCCTCAGGGTCCGCTTTGGTCAAAAGCACAATGTGGTTTTTAAAGTGACAGATGGCTTTCAAGCCTATGAAAAGCTGAATTCTTAAAGCACAGACATCCATACTGACAGGTGGGCAAGCCTAGTAAAGGAAAAAAAATCACAAATTTAACCAAGAAATAAAGTTACAAGAACTTTAGTCTTCAAAAATCCATCTATTTATTTGATAAAGTTTCTGCTGCTCCACCCCTACCCTCAAAAAACCCCCTCAAATTCCTATTTTTATTAGCATGAGGTTTTTCTATCTAAACTTATATAACTATTTCCTAAGTGCCTGCCAAAGAGCTACTCTTTCTGAATGAATTCAGAAAGTGGGTGCACCTGAGGCCCCTCCCAGCTGTGGGAAGTCCCCACGGCCGGGGAGCGCAGCCCTGGGCTGGTAAGCTGCCCCCCAAGGCAAGCCCACTGACAGCGCGCAGGCTTTGGGGTATGCCCAAATGGATTTTCCAGGCAAAAGGAAATACTACAAAAAGACATTCTACTGCACAGAGTACACAAAATGGTTTCTTAGTAGATGGGTATGTGGGGTAGAAACACTTGTATGTTCAGGTGGCCCCTGACTCTTAGGTCCTTAGGTGTGAATATTGCCTAGAACGGAATGTGCCAGGTAAACTGGAGAAAACCCTGGACCAGGAGCCAGGCCCCTATGCCTGTAAGGGAGCATTAACTCAACTAGAATGGATAAGAAAGAATAGAAGAACTTTTTCCGGGAGCTCACAAATGATGCTGCCAAGCCCATGCCTTCTGCTCCATTAACACTGTTTTGATGCAGAGGTCATCTTCCTTGTCCCTTTGTATAATGTGCTTGGGGAAACACCTCTGCCTCTTTTTTCATCCCCAAGAATAGTTAGGTGGCCCTGGCTAGTGCTGAGAATCTGGAATCTCAGAGGAAAGGCAGGAAAAGATAGGTGTACTTTGGGCCAAACTCGGGGGCTGTGAAATCTTTCTCAGACACCACAGCTCCCAAAACCCAAGTCAGCAAGCGTGCTTATTCAAGTGGCATCTGGGCTGGTGGAGTTGCAGGGATGGGGAGCCATGGGGTGTGATCATCAGCATCCTTCCCACCGAGCCACGTTCAAAGGGAGGCTCTCAAGGGCAGCATCCCCCACCAGTTCCCCCTGTCCGCTCTTTTCTCCTTTCCTCTTTTTCTGGTTTCTTCCCACTGGCTTTATGAGACTCTAAGAAGACCTGAAATTATAATTTATTTTCAAATGTAGTTTGATCCTGCCTCAACCTACCCCTTACTCTACCATCACCACCTATGTAAGCCAATGTCTTTCTGAGGCTTTATTTTTTAAGGCATGGTGTGGAGAGAAGAAAGGGACAAAGAATCGGTCAGCTTCCAATCTTTGATAGGGAAATAGCCTTTGTTTTTAAAATAATCTCTTGAAAAGACTATGTGTGCATCTTAACCACAGACAGAAGGACAAAGGAAAACTATGATTCTGGTTCCCCAGGAGGCCAAAGGTAGGCAATAAGCCTGGTCAGCAACAAAAAGCTACAGACAGGCCACAACCAAAAAAAAGGAGTTACTGAGAACTCAGATCACATAAACCACTATTACACAATTTGAGCAAAGTGATAATGGTTGAGTACCCCAGACATATTAAGCACTTAATAGTGCTGGCTTATTAACATAACCATCATTACAGAACACTTATTCTTCCAGGAAAAGGTGTTCCAGAGACCTTTGTTATGATACACATAAACAAAATAATTTTGGGGTTTCCTCCAGCCTCTATCTTCACAACAAACAACCATTCAAGTAGCTTATATGTCAGAGATAAAATACTACATGATGAATATCATAAAAATGATCAGTATATTTTGAGAGTAAAAATTCAGGGTCAGAAAAATGTAGAATTTCATCATGAACTGTCTATGTTTACTTCATGGTCAATGGCTTTTTCAGGGACTAAGCATACTAAAAATGAGGTTATTGACCTAACATATCCATTTCCTCTTAGGTTTAATCAATAGAAATACAAAAAGTTGTTGAAAGCTTATAAAATAACAAAATTATAGGCATATCTAATAACAATGTGAAGAAATTATTTTAATGAACTTCATTCGATTTTGCGTTCTTTTTTCAATTTTGTGTTCTTGAATAATTTCTGAACTTCTTTTTTAATAGCTATATATTAATTGCCACCAATAGATCCATTAATAAAACTCTAGTATACTGTAGTTGTGAAGTTCTCTCTCTGAAGTTACATTACATAGTCTTTATGTTCAAACTTTTAGAACTATGCCTTAAACCTAAATTTTGAGTGAAATGTTTTCAAAGTAATTTTAAATATTGTCATCTAAACCATGAATCAGAAAATGTTTACTATTTTAAATTCAAAAGTTGCAATTCAATAAAAAAGATCTTAAAGCCTTTACTGTTCATCTCACTTAGACCCAAGGGCAAATTTGCAAGTAGTCACATGTTCCTTTTTGATCTTAAGGTTTCACTGTCATCATAAGCCAGTTCTAACCTTCAGGGTGGAGTCCACGTATGGGTCCTCCTCACGAGCTGCCGCCGCACTGCACCGCACTGTGAAACACTGCAGGTTGTTACTAAGAAAGAGGAGAGAGGCCATTGAACAAAGTGGAGGCCAAAAACCAACGTGTCCATAGCAGGGAGGAGTTCACAGGCAAACAGAGCAATGGCCAAGGTGGGAGAAGACTCAAGTATTTATCAAGTGCTGAAAGGTTAGACGTTTTCTTATCAAGGAGGGTAGCTCAGGACCCCTCTAGAGTATGTTTTAAAACATAACTGGTCCCCAGCTTACCCCTATTGAATCATTATCTCTAGAGGCTGAATCTCAACATGTGTGATTCTGCAAGTCTATGTGTAGAACCAAGGATCTGGGTCAGTACCCTCATTTGACAGATAGATGATGCCCCCAGAATCAGTCCAAGGTACAAAGAGTTCACTATCAAAGCCCAGATTAGAACACAGATTCTTTATTATATCTATCCCACTCATCCCAGGATGAAACTGAGCTTGGATTATACTGGACAACATACTTAGATGATGCAGAACACAAATCAACACAAAACACAAATCCAATGGCAGAACAGAAAATCAGAGACTGTCTGACAGAATCTTCAGAGTTAGCTACTCCAGCATCTTGTTTTAGATTAGGGCACAGAAGGTTTGTGACTGGCCCAAGGCCTCTCTGGAGAATAGAACCAAATTAGATCCCAGGTCTCCTCACTCCTCACACTCTTCTATCTCTTTCCACAACCCTGGACTGCTTCCTTTGGTACAGTAAAACGACCTAGGAACCCAACAGTAAGTGTACAATAGATGCCTGCTGACTGGTGGATAAGTTAACACAGCAATACTGACATTAAAAACAGTTAACGTAAAAACTGCAACAAAACCCATCTTGCAGAGAATTCACAGGAATGACTTTTAAAAACAAATTAAAAAGTAGGAGAAGTAAAAATGAACTCTGTTAACATAAAAAAGCAAAGGACTAAAGCAAACCTAACAACAATCTTAAAATAGAAGAAATACTCTTTAGCAAGAAAGGTATTCTGACACCTGCCCAGTTGGGAGACTTTGCACAATGTAGCTCAGAGGCATCAGTCAGGCCTCTCTCCATCTGTAAGCTGGGGCTTCCACTTCAGTCTCAGCCAACTGCCACCTCTGTCCATTTCCACAAAGTTCTAGGGCATGACCTCTGAAGTCAGGACAACAGTACCACCACTTACAAATATGGAGTAGAGAGCATCCTCAGGAATTTAAATGACTGGAAGAAACTTAGAGATAGTGAGCAAAACAGCACCTGTAGTGGGGACTAGAATGACAGGTGAAAGTAGTTAATGACCATTAGGGTCTAGAGGTGAAAAGGTGGGCCCCTCTGACCTACCTCCACTTCCAGTAATGCAGTTGTTGGCTATTGTTGGAATACAAAGGAGCAATATGACAGAATAAAGTGAACTGAAATGTGCTGGCCAGGAAAGATGTCCAGAATATGCTGCTAGGTAAAGCAGCAAGTTGATGAACAATGGATATATATGATCTACTTCTGTAAAAAACAAATCATAGTAGTACATGTATTGGTTTTTTTTAAAAAAAAAAAAGATGAATATACACCAATTGTTGACATAGTTGACTCTCAGGAGTAGGATTGAGGGTAGAGGGCTTTCCCATTTATGTATTTCTATAAGGGCAACATTTTACATAATTTTATATTGTTCTTAGAGTCTTCAAAAAAATGCATTGCTTTTTTTAGTGTATATAAACATATTGGTCTGCAAGAACACATGACTTATACTTAAAGGGGCGGGAGACATACATTTAGAGGGTCCACTCACTAAATTCTCAGTGTCCTGTACATCTGTGCAATAACATGGAGAAAAGATGGATAGTCCTTGGCATCAATATTTGGGGACAGAAATTAATATTTATTCCTTCTTTCTCCCTCTATTTTTGACCTTGGTTTCTGAGATGCTACGGTTTCGTAGGTTCTACATCCTTGAAGATCCTTCTCTTCCTCCGCTCACTTCCTAAATAGGACCTTCGCCAGAGTTTTAGTTCAACTACTTTTCTCTGCTGCACACTCTTAAAAGTCATCATGCTCACTACTTTAATAATCAGCTTTTTTCATCATAATAAAACATCTAAGTTTTCCTCTCTTCCCTAATTTTTACTTCTATGTGTCCAAAAGCCTACTCAATATTTCCTCTTGATATTCTCTAAGCACCTCAAACTCAAATGTGATAAACCAAAATTCTCCTTTGCCCCACACTACACAAGCCTCCATTCTTCCAAATTACAGGCTCAAAATTCATGGGGTTTTTCATGCCTCCTCCATTCCTGTAATTCCATCTGGCATCCAGCCTTTTAATTCTCTTGCCGAAGCCTCTACCACCCATTCTTCCTTCTTCTCTCATTGCTACTGCTCCGCCCTCATACAGTCCTTCATTATCCTTATCTGAACCACTTTAACAGCTTATTTGTCTACATTCAATCTATCCTCCATAATGTCCGGGAGCATTAATTTTCCTAAAGCAATGCCCCCATCATATCCCTTTCTTTTTATTTACTTTTTTCAGTATATTTTAATGGTTATGCTATTACAGTTGTCCCAGTTTTTCCCTCTTTGCCCCCCCTCAATCCGGTCCCTCCCTGCCCTCCAGCAATCTTCTCTCTTTAGTTCATGTCCATGGGTCATGCATATAAGTGCTTTGGATTCTCCATTTCCTATATTATTCTTAACATCCCTCTATTTTGTACCTACCAATTTTGCTGCTTATTCTCTGTACCTTTCCCCCTATTTCCCCCCTTCCCCCTCCCAGCTGATAACCCTCCAAATGTTCTCCATTTCAGCAACTCTGTTCCTGTTGTAATTATTGGTTTGCTGTTTTTGTTTTCTAGATTCAGTTGTTGATAGTTGTGTTTGTTGTCATTTTAATGTTCATAGTTTTGATCTTCTTTTTATTAGATAAATCCCTTTAACATTTCATATAATAATGGCTTTGTAATGGTGAACTCCTTTAGCTTACCTTGTCTGGGAAGCACTCTATCTGCCCTTCAATTCTAAGTGATAGCTTTACTGGAGAGGGTAATCTTGGTTGTAGGTCCTTGCTTTTCATCATTTTAAATACTTCTTGCCAGTCCCCTCTTGCCTGCAAAGTTTCTTTTGAGAAATCAGCTGACAGTCTTAAAGGAACTCCTTTGTCGATAACTCTCTGCCTTTCTCCTGCTGCTTTTAAGATTTTCTCTTTATCTTTAACCTCTTTAATTACAGTGTGTCTTGGTGTGGTCCTCTTTGGGTCGAACTTGTCTGGGACTCTCTGTGCTTCCTGAACTTGTGTGTCTATTTCTTTCAAGAAATTGGGGAAGTTTTCTTTCATTATTTTTTCAAGTAAGTTTTCAAGTTCTTGCTCATCTTCTTCTCCTTGCATTCCTATGATTCAGATGTTGGCCCTTTCAGAGATGTCCCAGAGTCCCCTTAAACTTTCCTCGTTTTTTTTTTTTTGAATTCTTGTTTCTTCATTTTGTTCTGGTTGAATGTTTATTTCTTCTTCATGTTCCATATTGTTGATTTGTACCCCAGCTTCCTTTCCTTCACTGTTGGTTTCCTGTGGATTTTTATTTCATTTAATGTAGCCTTCATTTCTTCCCTTACGCTTTTGCCATATTCATTGAGATCTCTGAGCATCCTAATCACCAGTGTTTTGATATCTAAGTCTGATAGGTTGGCTATCTCCAAATTGCTTAGTTCTTTTTCTGGGGTTCTGTTCTGTTTCTTCATTTAGGCCATATTTCTTTGTCTCCTCAATTTGGCAGCCTCCCTGTGTGTGTAGTAAGTAGAGCACCTCAGAAACCCTGTCTTAGAGCACTTGTTAAGTTGTATGAGGTGAAGCCTTGAGTATTTGCCAGAGTTTGCAGCCTGCCTCACTGCTTTGTGGCTCCGTGTGTGGGGAAGGGTTAAAGAGGAGCCAATGCCACTGCTGGCTGACTTCTGGGAGCTTACCTGGAACTTGCCCCATTTCCAGTTACTTCACCCACTTCCCGTATGTGACTGGCACCCCTGAAGCTGCTGTCCTGGTTGTGGTTCCCACAGTGGGTGGGTTAGTGTATATTGTGGGATACCCTGAGAAACTGGCAGTTTCTCCCACCACCCCAACCCCAGCTGGTTCTCACAGCCAGTAGTTATGAGGCTTTATTTTTCCTAGCACTGTAATCCTAGATCATGCGGTCTGGCCTGGGACTGGGATCGCTCATTCACAAGGTGTCCCCCTGATTTTTATCCACCACATGTGAACGTGGGACTGCCTGTTCTGCTGACTACCGCCACAGCCATACTGCATTCTCTCCACCCCTCCTACCCATCTGGATAAATACAGCTTCTTTTAATCTTTGATTGACAGACTTCCATACAGTTCAATTTTCTGGCAGTTCTGGGTGTTTTTCATTTCCAAATTAGTTGTGATCCTTCTTGTGGTTGTGCAAGGAGGCAAAGCGTATCTACCTATGCCTCCATCTTGACCAGAAGTCTCCCTAATGATAGGTCAGTTTCATTTGGTCAAAACCTGAGCTGTATTTAAGCTTCTTCATTTCTAAGGAACATTACTACACACTTTGGAAACTGAGAAAACTATCTACCTCCACAATGTCCACTTAAGAAACAATACAATAGCGTTTCTCCTTACATCAGGGAGCGGCCAGGGAGTGAGGAGCACCCACCCTAGGAGTGGGCATCAAATCCACAGGTGGGTCCTATACTGTTTGAAATATACTCTAGCACTTGCTGGAGATTCTGACAATACCACAATTTAAAAAAAAATAACTGTCCTTTTAAAAAAATAATTTAACAATACAATTAATTATTGTTTGCTCCTGTAAAACTGTGTGACATAGCCTTTGTTTATAGTCTCCTCCATAATGCCCTTCTCTTCCAATCTCCATCTGTCAAACTCTAGCTTTCAGGACCCACTTCAGACATGAAAAACTTTGCCACATGACTCAGCCAGAAGTAATTTCTCTCCTCCCAGGGCCCAGACCACTTTCATGAAGTCTTAAGACATTTTTCACAAATCTCCTAGTGTTTGTGCCCTGTCTGTGTGTCTCTGGCCCCCTCTTTTGTCGTTGCTTTAGGAAGCAGATGGTGTACCTTACTCACTGTTGCTTGGCCAGAGGGCCCAATGCAAATGCCTAGCACATAATCGCAGCTCAAAAAAACAGGAAATAGAACCGAAAGCATCACTTACTGCTGAGATAAAAGGAAATGAGGTCCAAGTCCTGCTCAGGACCCCAGTTTACATGCCAGCATACCAGGGTATGGCAACTCAGAAGACATCTGCCACCAACTGCAACATGACCTTGACCAATCCCAACCTCTGGACTATTTCCCCATCTGTACCAGTCAGAAAGTAAAATCAGATGGTCTTTTTGGCCCCTTTACAGTTTTATACCATTATAAGATAATTCAATTCATACATCAAGGATATAATAGCAGTGATAAAAAAATTAGAAAAAGAAATCTAGAGATGCCCTGAGTGGCCCCACTGACTTTTCACTATAATTCCCTATGAAAATCTTCCCTCATGGAGAACCCCATTCTTTCTTACAACTATTCTCCATCCAGTCTAAGAAAATGAAGCAAAAGCAAAACCAGAATCTAAATCAATGACATTAAAAAGTCAGCAATGGGCCATCAAAAGACAGATGTATACATTAATTTACAGTGCTATGTACTGGTTCACAATTCTCACTGAAAGATTTGGGAAGCACCTCAAGAACTGACAGAAAAATAAGTGACTCAAAGGCCAGCAAGTGACACTATAACATACCTTGTGATGACATGCAAAAATTGTGGGGTGAGCACTGCCTGGTGACACTTCTCAGAGTATTGGTAAATTGACATTAATTCAACCGATTTGACCACCAAGTAGAGGTAACCCACGTGAGGTAATGAGAAAAAACAGAAGAGACTCAGCAATTCTTTTTCCTGAGACAAATTTATTCTCTCAGAAGTAGGAGAACCTGTATGAAAAAAAAAGTAAGAACATAAAACCAGTAAATAAAGGCAAGCAGTATCTTGACTTTTCTGGCAAAAAAAGTCTATCAGTTGTTTAGGAGAAGTTGCTCTTTACAGAAGAATGCCAGTAAGAAATCATAAGATAGTGATATAATTAGAATATCACCATGTTTTAACCCCTAATAAATGAAGAGATCTAGGTAATAATCATTACCTATAATGGCTATTAACATTACAAAAAAAATCAACTTAATACTATGTACCTTTCAACAGAACTCAACCCTACTTGGGTTACTTAATAATAATAACCTGATCAAGACTAAGTCTAGACTTGCACCATCAACAGAAATGCAATGTGAGCCACATGTGTAATTTAAAGTTCTCTAGTAACCACATTTACAACTGTAAAAATAGGAAAAATTTTAATACATTGTAACAACATAACCAAAATATTACCATTTCAACAAGCAATCAACAAAAATTAATGAGATATTTTATATTCTTTACTTTGTTGTTGTTGGTAAGTCCTCAAGATATAGTGTGAATTTGACACTTACAGTGTATTTCAATTTAGACTAGTCACATTTCAAGTGCTCAAAAGCAACATTTGACTAACGGCTGCCGTGCTGAAAAGTGTAGCTGAGACAGAACTGGCAAATCACAGGGAAATACAGAGGATACAGGAATATGTTAAATGACACTGGGGGAGCCAATTATCAAAAGTCAGATTGTGGGTAATTCTACAGTTGTTAGTCCAGTTTCTTGCTAAACAAATTGCAAGGAAAAGAGAAAGAGGGAAGGAGAACCTACATAGTAAAAGAGCCTTTAAAGACACAGCAACCAGTTGCAATGTATGAACCTTACTTGGAATCTGATCCAAACCAATTAATTAAAGAAAAAAATTTTACTTATTTTTTAAGATTTTATTTATTTTTAGAGAGGGGAAGGGAGGGAGAAAGAGAGGGAGAGACATATCTATGTGAGAGAAAAACATCAATCAGCTGCCTCCTGCATGCACCCCAAATAGGGACCAAACCTACAACCCAACCATGTGCCCTGACCAGCAAATGAACCCCGAAACCCTTTTGCTTTGCAGGATGATGCCCAGCCAACTGAGCTACATCAGTGGGGACAGAAAAAAATTTTATAGACAACCAGAGAAATCTGAACACTGACTCGATATTTGATGATATCAATGAATTTTTTAAAGAACATGAAATGATATTTTGAGTTTTTTAAATAAAACAATCCACAGTATAAACTCTGGAATTTGCAACAAAATAATCTGGCATGGGGCAGAGAGCGGTCACGAGGCAACACCTGAAGCTTGTGATGGGTATACGGGATGTGGTTCTCTCTACATCTATGTGCCTGAAATTTTTAATAATCAGAAGTTGTTGTTTTTTTAAAGAATAGCTCTGACTGATACTCTTCAAGGACACCCATTAATAACAGAAGAGAATCCAATTCTCCATTCTCCATAATTGGACCAGAGCAACCTATACAGCTTTTTCTACCTCTTCTTTCCTACACGTATCTGTGCTCTAGTCAAACAGAAGTGCTCGATGATCTCCAAACATATAATGCTTTTATACCTTGTACATGTTGGTTCTTCTTATGTAATATCTCACTAAAATGTCCATCTTCTAGAAGCTCTAATCATCTCTTTGGGCCCAATTCAAACATGCACTATGATTCCACTTGCCTATTAAGTAAATATTCATCAGATACCTACTAAGTGCCACTGTTCTTGGTTCTGGGGTTACAACAGTGCACAAGACAAGGTAATTACATTCATTATAATAATGGGGACTGGAGTGAAGAATAAACAAACTGTGTAGTATGCAGAGTGGGAATATTTTAAATTGAGATGTCAGGGAAGTCCTCTGTGGTGAGGTAACATTTAAGCTGTGAGTTGAATGACTCAAAGACACCAGTCATGAAAGATCTGAGGAAAATACATTCTCAATGCTTGAAGAGTAAGTAACAGGTTTTATACAAGAATGTTGTTGGCCCTGTCCAGGTAGCTCAATTATTTAGATCAAGCCCATGACCAACATGTCAAGGTTATAGGTTCGATCCCACTCAGGGCATATATAAGAATAAACCAATGAATGCATAAATAAGAGGAACAACAAATCCATGTTTCTCTGTCTCTCCTTTCCCTGCTCTCTCACTAAAAAATAAATTTAAAAAAAATTTAAAGAAAGAGTATATTCTGCATATCTAAGGGAGAGGGAAAGGCCAATTTGATGAAGAACAGTAAGAGGGGTGAGTGGAACAAGCCCAGAATCAGGGTCATGTAGGCCATGGAAATAATGTGGGATTTTATCCCAAGTGCTACAGGAAGCCACTGGATAAAGAGCTGGCCTAACATGGCTACAGGCCCTGTCTGGTCCTCAGCCTTATCTCACATCTCCCTCTCCCTCGCTAAACTCTCCCAGTCTTGCCTCTTTTAGTTTCTCAGACAAGATTCACTCCCTGCCACAGACCTTTGCTGCTGCTTCCGCCCCAAACCAGGGCCATTTCACTCTTCAGATCCTCTTTCTCAAGGAGACTTACTTGACCACCAGGTCAGGATCTTTCGTTACAGGCTTTCAAAGCAGGTTATTTACCCCCTCTGAACACTCATTTCAGTGTGTAACTGTGTCCTCCTTTTTGTGATTATTCAATTAATAATCATCTACCTTCCCCATGGAGCTATAAGTTCCATGAGTGTAAGTACTTTGCCTACTTTTGCTTTTGGTTCGCTAGTATTCAGCACCATACCCAACAAAGCAGGTACTCAATAAATGTATACTGAAACAAGTACAAAAGTAAGTGAAGATCATAAACGCATTTAATCAAAATAATGTATCTTTCTCTAGGCAACATTTAAAGATGTTAAACAGGCCAGGACTAAGTAGAGTACCCAATGCTGATTCTCAATTTTGGCTGCTCATTCTGGGGAGCTTTTCAAAATACTGATGCCTAGTTTCCATAGCTGACCAATTAAGTCAGAAATCTCTAACACATAGAGCCTGGGCATCACTACTTTTAAAAGCATCCAAGTAAATTCAGCACGGCTGAAAAACACTGCTCTAAATAAATTTCCCTTGAGTTTACCATTTCTCGCCTTACTCACAAGGCCGTCATAAGAACTTTGTCAAGTACCTAGGTGGAATCCAGATAAACCTCAGCTATAGCAGGGCTTTGATTTCCTCTTTTGGGTCAAGTGACTGTTTTTCAAAAAGAGAAATGGCTTTTGTCTGTTATGTCCTCTCCATGGCTTCTTCTAGCAGATACAACTTCCCTTTCTAGTGCTCACAGGGATTTGCTAAGGAACTTGTTCGAGGCTACAGGGAGACTCAGTAGAAGAATCTAACCTGTCACCCATGGCAGTCTAGCCTCCCAGCCAGGGCCTTTCCACCCCGCTGCACTGTGTCATGGTCATACTTACCTGTTTGGTAAATGGGCAGCAGCTGAAGTGAATGCAACTTAATGTCATCAGACAAGGCAAAGGACGAAATGTCAGGAGCAAAACGTCTGTGCATTTAAAAAGACAGAGAGGGAGAGAGATCTAATTTCCATGTACTTGAAGCAGATAAATATATATTAAATGCTGATGAATAAAAAGCTTTCTAATACCTATAGAGCAGATACTGCACATGGAAATTTTTCATTTTTTCATCATCTATTCCTGTTGACTCCAGTGTAACAGATACTCCAGACTGTTCACTTTTTTCACCAAGAAGTTCCATGGGCTTTTGGCAGATAACAAAATCATCTGACTCAAGCTGCAAAGTTTCATTACTGATGCCTTAAAAAATAAGAGTTAAGAAAGGAGTTTAATAACTCAAAATACTACTTCAATGAATATTAGATTTCACAGCATCCCCTACCAATTAAATAGACACAGAGTAATTTTACTTATGCGCGCACACACACACATCATGTATTAACAAGGCACTATGGTTTTGAGGTCTTAATACTTGCTCATTTATTCCTCACAACAACTGATCAAGTACAACAGGATTCATTATCATCCTCATTTTTTACATGAGAACACTGAAATTCAAAGACAGCATCATAAACCCAAGATCAATTCAACAAGTAAATATGAGGACCAGGACTATAAATTCCTCATTGAGCATTTGTTCTATTATTTCTATTGACAATATTACTGAAATGCATTTGCATACTACAGAATAAGATACAGGCACCCAGATCACAAACCTGAATCCCATGTTTCTGGAATAACTACATCTATACATAATGCAACTTGGCAGTATACATACTACAGTGCTTCAGAGATTGCCCAAAGTAAGGGTTTTCTCTAAACCTAAAACAAGAAAGCAAAGTCATCATTTACCTTCTGCCTCTTTCACCGGACTGTTGGTATTATGTGGATGGTAGTGAACACTCTCTCCATTTTTAGGGTTTGATTCCAGTTTTAGGATTAAGACTTCCAGGTCTGACATGATAGCCACATATCCAACACAGAAAGATATTTCAACAGGAGTAATATTATGTATGTGTATAATTAAAGAACGTTCAAAATCCAATATTGAGAATTCTTCATTAATCACCTGATACTTCAAACTAAATAAGACTAACTTATTTGTACAGCCAACAAGAAGGTCTCCTCTCACAGGACAACAGGATATGCACAAGGGGGCCTCAGAAAGTGGCATTTCAACAATAGACATCTGGTCCCTGAAGGTTTCTCGGAAGGGTGCCTCCACATTATGTCCAACCATTCGGATGCACACTCGAGAGTTTTCAGTCCTCTTACTTCTCCAGTTCACATAAGCACGTAGAAATGTAGCTTTGTTTTTCTCTTCAATTGCTACCAAATAGTCTCCTGAGGAGGAAATAAGATTATACTTAGAATTTGTAATTCGAAACAACCACTTACCTTGATCATGAAAAGGAATTATTAATGAATTCTAATGTGAATGGTTGAATTAAAGATTCACTAGAACAAAACCCAAAGTAACAGAATCTTAGGTATATTTTTAACTAACATTAGACATTTAGGTTCTTGAAATACAATCTTCATTTTAATGTCTTAAGATACCCATTAATTATTCACATAGTTTACACAGAAATGTTACATTTTATTCCTTATAAACACTTATAGCTCTAAGTGTTTACTGTAGCTCTGAAGCTACAGCTCCAACAAAACTCTCCTGACATAAAGAGTTTAGTAGTATCAGTGTGATGTTATTGTAAAATTAGCTACAAATTAAAGAACTCTGTGATTAGCAGAACTTTTACTACAACCTCTCTTCTACCCACAGAAGTCACATCTTCATGTCAGCTCTTAGAAATAAGATAAAGTTGTACATATTAAGTAAAATTTAAATCCTGGTTAATTTCCCCTTAACTGTTGATTTTATTAGATTTTTTAAATTACAAAGTACATTTTTGATTACTTTTTGTTGTGAGAAGTCAAAGGAATAAAGAGATATAAAATAAAAAAATATAATGTTCTCTCCCCTGCAGTCCAATCTGTGAGAAGCCAAAGTTAACACACAGCTTGGCATGTACCCTTATACACCATTCTCTCATATAAACATAGATCACAGAGTGGTATTCTGCCTTTTTTTTTTTTATATCCAAAATGGAATCACACTAAATATATTTAACACTCTGCAACTTTAAAAAATTACCAACGAATCTTTCCCTCCAGATCCATATGTGGAAATGTAACATTCTTTCAAATATCTGCATGATAGCTTGCAAATATATGCGCCATAATTTATTCAACAAGTCCCCTATCAATATACATTCAAATATTCCCAGTTTTTGTTACCACTATACTTTACTTCACACTGTAATAATAGGCGTATACCTATATATTTATTTACTGGGGTTTTGTTTCAATGGTTTAGGTTCCCAAAAGTAAGAATGTTGGGCTAAAGGGCAAGTACATTTAAAATTTAATAAATACTGCCAGATTACTATCAAAATTACATAATAGAAATTCATGTTGCCAACAGTCCTGTTTGACATGCCTGTTTCCCCACATCTTGACTAGCACTGACTTGATGTAATAAGGAAAACATGGACTCTCGTGGTTATTATAATTTATATTTTCCAGATCACTTACAAAGGTGACCATCTTTTTCCTTGTTTATCAGCCATGTATAATTTCTCTTCTTCAAGTTATCCACTTTTTTATTGGGTTGTTTGATTTTTCCTATTAAGGAAGAGCAGTTCTCTGGGTAAAAGTGACATTAATCCTTTGCCGGTCATGAACAGGAAATCGTTTTTGAAAGTCTATTGCATGACTATTCTGTTTATTTATGGCATCTTTTACCATTCAATTTTTATGTAGTCAGATATATTTCTTTTCCTTCTTGACTTCTGGGTTTCCTAACTTGCTTTATTAGTCTATGTCCTCCGTATTACACAAACATGCTCTTGGATATTCTATTTTAGTAATTTTTTAGTTTAAATTTTTAATCTTTAGAACTTTGTGGGTGGGGAGGATAAGTCTGGGTTCTTTAAAATGCAGAACTTACTATAAGCTAACATTATTAGGTAAACAAGCCCTTTTCCAATGAATTAAAATTGGAAGGCTTCTGTTGGTTTACTGACTTCCTGTATGCACATGCAGAAGCAAGCAGCTGCAGACCCTTTCAGCAGGCTCGTGGGGTTGGCCAAGGCCCCTTCTCCTCCAAAATGAGCCATTGGTCAAGACAGGCAAGCCTTCTCCTGATACTAGTTGCTCTGGCCAGAAAGATGGAGGCTGCACCTTTCTGTTCTCTACCTGGAGATCTTCGTGGTATGTGTAAATATCCTCTGCAGATTCAGTATATTTGCTCACTCTACTCCAGAGTAGCAGTTTGGATAGAATTAGGGTTAAAAGATGCCTGAGGTGATTGCTTATATAAAAACAGGTTTATCTAAGAAAAGTCTTCATATGTCTTGCTACCATAAAACACCTTTCCTTTTAGTAATATTTTCCATAAGATATTCATAGAGTTAATGACTTGCTGCATGTCTGTCCCAAAGGCCCAGGTATAAGGGAGGCTCCTGTTTTACTCAAAACTGGTCATCTGAAAATTCCAGAAGTAAACCCCAGGCCAGGCTCCAAATGTTGGGCTTCAAGATACTAATTAGCCTTACGAGAAGTAGCCTTAAGATAAAAATGGTTGTACTGAGTTACTTCAGATCTAAACTTGAAAAACAGTATTTCTAAGTTGTGATGGGGTTAGCTCAAGTTTTTACTATTAAAAAAAGAAAATTCTCTTTATATAACTAAATTCTTGGTTGTATTGACAGTATTGAATTACAAACAACCTGTTATTTGAATGGTTTGAACACGTTGCAGTTCAATTTCACACAGGCCTCATTAGGTCTTACTAATGGATCTACGTGCCTATCCACTGTTTAATTCCATCCGCAGATGAGGGCCCAAGGGGCAGTCTCACCTGTGAGGTTTACCTATTGCGCTGTAACACAGTCATAAGGAGAAAAACGGCAATATAACAATTAATAAACTTGCAGTTTAAATTGTGTGTATCTAAATTTTAGTATTTTTACTTTATATTGATGCATAGTGTGATTGCAATTAAGTGCTTATAATTTAAAAACTAATATTCAAAATAAATAGTTATATATTTATATAAAAAAAGATGCCTGTGGCCTCCATCTTCCTAGAATTCCCTCATTAAATACATTTTTTAAAAGCCTTACTGTGGTAAAATACATGTAACATAAAATTTACTATTTTCATCATTTTTAAGTGTACAATTAATTCAGTGGCATTCAGTACGTTCTCATTGTTGTACAACCATCACCACCATCCCTCTCCAGAGCTTTTTCATCTTTCCCCCAAAATTCTGTATTAAACAATAATTCCCCTTCCTTCCCTCCACTTAACGCTAACTCTGGCAACCACTATTCTACTTTCTGTCTCTAGGAATTTGACTACCCTAGGTACCTCATATTACCTCACTCATACAATATTTGTCCTTTTGTGTCTGGCTTACTTCACTTAGCAAAATGTTTTATAGGTTCATTTGTGTTACAGCATGTGTCAGGTTTTCAGTCCTTTTTAAGGCGGAATATTCTACTGTACACATATACCACATTTTGTTTATTTATCAAATAAGGTTGTCTCCATGTCTTGGCTATTATAAATAATGTTATAAGGAACATGAGGGTAAGATATGCATATGCCATACTGTCTATCTTTTTATCTGTTGATGGACATTTGGGTTTGCTTCCATACCTTGAATCTTATGAAAACTGCTTCTATGAACAATGATGTATAAATATCTGTAAAAGTCCCTGATTTCAATTATTTTGTGTCTAAACCCAGAAGCGAAATTGCTGGATCACATGATTATTATGTTCAATTTTTGAGGAACCACCGTACCATTTTCCATAGCAGCTCTCTACCATTTTATAATCCCACCAGAAATGCACAAGGGTTCCAAAATCTCCATATCCTCACCAATGGTTATTTTCTACTTTTTAAAATAATGGCCATTCTAATGGTTTTGAAGTGGTATCTCACTGTAGTTTTGATTTGCATTTCTTTAATGGTTAGTGATGTTGAGCATGTTTTCATGTGCTTGTTGACCATTTGGAGAAATGTCTACCAAGTCCTTTGCCTATTTTTTAAATTAGTTTGCTTTTTTGTTGTTGAGTTATAGGAGTTATTACATATTCTGGATATTAATGTCCTATCAGATGCATGCCATGCAAATATTTTCTCCCATACTGTGGACTGCTTTTTCAATTCTTTGATAGTGTCCTTTGATGCACAATAATTCTTAATTTTGATGAAGTCCAATTTGTCTATTTTTTCTTTTGTTGCCTGGTGTTATATTCAAGTTAGTAAGTGAATTTTAAAACTAAGAGCATTTTTTGCCCTGTCTGGTGTGGCTCTGTGGATTGAACACTGACCTGCAAACTGAAAGGTCGCTGGTTCGACTCCCTGTCTGGGCACATGCCTGGGTTGCTGGCCCAGTCCCCAGTTGGGGGCATGTGAGAGGCAACTGACTGCTGATTCTCTCCCTCTCTTTTTCCCTCCCTTCCCCTCTCTCTGAAAATAAATAAATAAAATCTTTTTAAAAGTTAAAAAAAAAAACTAAGTATTTTTTTAGTTATAATAAAAGTGTTTTATTCATACATTGAAAAATATATGCCTATTTCGTTATTAGTTTATATATATCAACCATTTATATATAATCTGCAAACTGTAGTTAGTGTACATGCTGTCTTGTATGTTTTCAAATTAATAACTTGTTTTATAAACAATGACCTAGAACTTGCCAAGCGTGTCTACTCATAAACCTTAAGATCAGAGCTTGAGAGTTGGCGCAATTAATCCTCACAACAGATCTTTAGATATCTCCTTCTCCTTTTCTAGCTCAGGAATCTGAAGCTCAGACAAACTAAGTACCTTGCCTAAGGCAACACAGGCAACAAAGAAAAGCTGGGACTTAACACTTGGATTTGGTCAACTCAAAGCCAATGTTCATTCCCCAAAAATGCTGTCTGTCAAAATGTAGAAATGAGTCATAAGTCTAGAGAATCTCAAAATGTTAGAAAGGAGTTATAATTCTAAAAGATTCTGTGGAGATTATAGCCCTTTATATGAGAAAGGAACTATATTTTTTATAACATTATGCACCCAGGCCTTTATTTTACTTGTAAATTAAAAAAAAAATTCTCAAATCTACTCTTAAGCCAGGAGTCACTGATTTTTTTTTTTAAATAAGTAAACTTTTCCTTCTATATAACAAGATCATAAACCTAGTTAACACTAATATCAGATTTAGGAAAGCACAGCACTCCACTGGCAAAATGAACATCAGAAGGCAGAAATAACATATGATGCATCAAAATGTGTTCTATGACTTAAGTTGACAGAGAGTAGGACATGGGGAGAGGTAACAGACTAGAGCTGGTTTAGTACACCTGTGCTAAAGGATAGGTGATGAGAGCCATGTGGTTATCCCATCTGCCCCACCACTTCCCAACACCCTATAAACAAGCGCCCAGCTTCCCACACATCACTCAACCCTAGCCACCAGGCCTTCTTCCCTCCAGAGCAATGAGTTCCCACATCCCTTCTTCCTCCCTTCACACACAAAGCCTAAATTAAGTTTCTATATGATGACGATGTCAGGGTACCCTCGTCCTTCAAAATTTCTACCTACTTTCTTCCTAACACCCCCAAACCTCATAAAAGGAAAATAGCACCCCATTAGAGAGAAAAAACTTAAAATGTTTACTGCTTGGGTAAGAGGCCTGCTAAATATTTACAATAAATACAGGGTGTGGTAAAAGTAGGTTTACAGCTGTCAAAATTGAAACAAAGTTTATTCTCATATTATTTATTAATTATTGTATGACTCTCCATATGAACTGTAAACCTACATTTGCCCCACGATGTTCTAACCAACTGAGCTACAAGGCCAGGGCAATTTGTTCCATCTTTGACCAGGGAGATTTGCTACGGAGGAAGACACTGGGTGTCTAGAACATAAATACTCACATCCAAGTTACTGTAAGTGGGAGGAAAGAACACCAAAAAGAAAACGCCAAGACATGGAAGACAAGTTATCCAGATATTGCATAGCTAGGAGTTAGATATGAGTAGACTAATAAAAGCTGTACCTAAGTGCTGAAGCTCAGGCTAAGGACAGAAAGTTACCCTAGAGCTACATGATCCATGTTAATACATTCCGCAAGACTCCTGAATTTTCTTTAAGACAGCAACTGGATTATAAAAACATCTTTGTTTTTCAAGTCCCCATTAGTGAGGTCACCATCCTACTCACTGCCTAAAGCAGCCAGTATGACTCTAGGTCAGTGGTTCTTACTCCTGGCTAAATATTAGAGTCACCCCAATGCTGGGCCACACCCCAGGAAATTGACACTGGTTCTCTAGATTGTGGTCAAGACACTCGTATTTTTTGAAGCTCTCCCAGCTAATTCTTATGCATCAGCAGTGTTATCCAAGGATCCTCAGAATCACCACTACTGACAGACAAGAAGGATTAAAGTTTACATAATGCCTGCCACTTTCAATTCTGGAATAAATGTCCACTTGGAAGAATGGAGCAAATAATGTAAACAGTGTATTTCTGTCTCTGTCTCTCTCCCTCATGTTCACACTAAAGTTGAAACTGATGAGTTTGCCACTCAACAGAGCTCTTAAAGGTAAGAACTCCTGTGCCTGAAAGGGAGGTAGAATGGGGAAAACTATGAATACTGTGAACTGACTGAAAAAGATTTTGTAAGAAATACCAAAATCAGAATCCTATGATTAAAGAGAACTAAGAGGCCCAATAAATGGTTTTCAAACTGGTATGTGGACCAGCGCAGGCCCCCGTGGATGTCTTCATTAGTCAAAAAGAAAAACTAATAATGACAGGGGAACTCAAGAGTTTCACATTTTTAGCTTTAGTTATAGTTGATAGGTTTAATGGATGCATGTAGAAAGTGGTTGTTCCAGGAACTGGAATGCATGCCCAGACCTAACAGAGAAATGTCTACCAAGAAATGTCTACCTGACTCCAAGAAGCCTGCAAGCAATTCAACCTTTGTACCCCAGGAGGACTGAACGAGATCAAGATGGATGCAATCCTTGTCTCCACCTATTGGTTCTGGTAGTGACAGGCAGCACAAACGCCAACTATTCTGGTTTCAATAACAGTGTAGTAAGTAGGTCATAAAACAAAGACATACAACATCTGGGGCTATGTGTTTTTCCTTTTATAAGTAATGGTGACAGTAAATAGAAGAGTTATTCATTTTTTAAAAACATGTATCTTTAATTGGCAAAATAAACAGGTACTATATATAGCAGCCCCACAGCTTTTCCCAATCCACAAAATCCAAGTGTCTGGAAATCACTGATCTAGTGATTCAACTTTTTTTTTTTAACAGAAACTGACAACCAAAAGTTTCTATGAACTCACACCAAGACAGCTGTAGACAGAGAAGGGATTAGAGGGAGATCATCAATCCTCCAGATTCATGCTCTGCAGTTCACTACTAAGAACTTCGCCTGGGGGACGGAGGGGGGGGGGGGGATGGCAGGGCAATGGTTCCACTATAAATACTTCCAATTTACACCTCTCCTGAAAAGGAGGAATTAAACTCAGAATAACCCTAAAGTGAGTCCTTGTGCAATCTGAATAAGTGCCTATGATTAAATGTTAGATACGCACACCCACATAATGCCCCCTTGGTACACACTTCACTTTTCTTGTGGAAAAACAGTAGTGGATGCTGCTACACCGTTTGGGGAGAGGATGGGGGTCGGGGTGGGGATGGAGGGCGTTCTAAGACCAGAGTTCCACATATACAGACTTTAAAATCAGCATATAATATGAGCTTCAAAAATTGACAGTTAGTAGATAAAGGTATAGATGTAAAAGGGCTGGCCAGGAGTTGGCCTGACTGTTGAAGCTGAGAGTACCTGGGGATTCAAGATACTATTCTCCTTACTTTGGTATGTGCTGGAAATTTTCTAAACTAAAAGGTTTTTGTTTTGTTGGGTTTTGTTGTTGTTGTTAAGTGTCTGGATTGAGTGGAACCAGCCACCCAACCACAGGTCTTTCTGGTAGGGCAGGAGAGAAGCATTTAGCATCCCCACCCGCTAGAAGCAGGAGCTCACCAGTGGTTGCTATGACAACCACTCAGCTCAGCATTTTTTCAGTAATCCGCAACCCCTCCAAGCGAGACCATCCGGCAAGTTTCCGGAAGCAGAAGACCCTCCCCCCCAACCCCCAAACAGCTGATGGTGGGGACACTGTTTGGAGGTCCCAAGCAGAAGCCCCGTCATTACTCACCAGCTGCGCTGTAGGCCAGGTGCAGCACCCGGCCCAGCGTGGAAAAGGCGCACCTAGGCTGGCACAGCTCCTGGCCGGCCACCGCGAACGCCTCCACCTTGCAGCCTGCCGCCACGAACAGCGCATCGGGGCCCCCGCCGCAGAACCGCTCGGGCTCTAGCTTGCAGGGCACCACCTGCTGCGACCCGAATGGGTGCAGGTTGTACAAGTGCACCATCCCGGCCACCGGCTGCTGGGCAAGCCGGTCCTCCGGGGACCCCGCGCCCGCCGGCGGAGGCTGGACCACTTCCGCGATCAAGTGCTCACAGCCTAATCACGTGAACGCCAGCCGGCCCACTAGCGGCTCAGCTTCTTAAAGAGACTGCAGCAGGGCGAGGCTGGAGCTGGGAGAGCAGTCTCACCCGCCCGCCGGGCCGCGCCGACTCCGCCCCTTCGGCCCAAGGTCCCAGCGCTTTGAGTAGCCCAGTCCTGACCACTGCAACGCGCTCAGCATTTGGCAGGTGGAGGCACTGCGGTGTCCTTTCCTTTGTCTTTTCGCGTTACCTCATTGGGCCAGGAGACTATTTAGGCCCTGGAATATATTTTAACATTTAATCATCTGCTCTCTTATACCATTCCATACTTGCTTCAGGAGCATCACTCTTTTTTTTTTTTCCCCAATAGCTGTGAACCTCTGGAGGACAGGGCTGCAAAAACTGAAGTGAGGTTCACATGTCTGGACTCAGTACTAAACGCACGGAAGAGTTGCTCAGAAATACTTTAAATTCTAGAATGGTTTAGTTGGAAAGACTGATGCCTGGAACGCGCTTGTCAAAAGTTTTACTGAATAAAAGAATCTGTGGACATCATCTAATGAACTCTAGGAATTTGACGAAAGATTACTTTCAGCCCCAGAGAAGTCCTAAAACTGTCCTCTAATCTGTACCCTATATCTATTCCTGACGTGTTAAACGTGGAGTTTGTGGTTGCAATCCCAATCTTTCTTTCTTTCTTTCTTTCTTTCTTTCTTTCTTCCTTCTTTCTTTCTTTCTTTCTTTCTTTCTTTCTTTCTTTCTTTCTTTCTTTCTTTTTTTACAGATTTAGAGGAAGCAGGTATTATGGCTTCTCTTTCCAGTTCATCCAGAAAATATGTATATAAGTATAGATTGAGGGATGTTGTTTTTTGCACACAGGATGCAACTGAAAAAAAGCAAAATTTCCTTCAGTCAATTTCTGGTTCAGCCACCCTCATCAGCACTCTCATCCAAGAATTTACAAAGTAGGTGCAATTGCATTGAAGTTAAACTCTGCCTCTGTTTCCTATGCCCTCCAGATGAGTAAAGTACCTCTTCTTTACTTTGCCCAGTCAGTAGGGACTTAGGGAGACAGACAGCAGGTTCATCAAATTCAGTGAGGCAGAGATATGGACAAGCAGGTTGCTCTAGTCCTCCAGCAGAGGGCTGAAAACTCATTAGATACCATATTCATGCACACCCATTTTCCTCCACAAATATCTACCATATTTTCATTTTTTATTAACTTTCTCCTTCTAGGCTGAAAATCACAATTTCAGTACTAAATTAAAATTTCAAAACTAAAAGTACAATTTCATGGTAATTTCACCTGCATAAAAATGTCTGTTTTGAAGAAAGAGGTTAAGATTTGTTCAAAGCCTGGAACATCAATCCCTTTTAAAGAGAGTCACCTCTCCTTTATAAGGGCCCCTGTAATTGGCTCATCTAAGATTCTTAGGAAATAGACATACTAGCCAAAGAGAGGTGGGTGATATTCCTGTTTTCTATGTTTGTCAGGAGCTGTGAGCAGAGCTGCCCACTTGCGTTCCTCCTACAAATTCAGGGGCAGCAGTGGGTGGCACAGTTTCATTTCCTTAGAAAAGGCTGTGTTTGTTATGGTGGCCGTAACAAAATGCCACAGACTGGGTGGCTTAAACAACAGAAATTTATTTTTCACATTTCTAGAAACAAGAAGTCCAAGATCAATCAAGGTGTCCACAAGTCTGAGTTCTCCTAAGTCTTCTTTCATTGGCTTGCAGATGGCCACTGTCTTAATCCATTTGGGCTGTTACAACAGGATACGACAGACTGGGCATCTTATAAGCAGATATTTATTTCTCACAGTTCTGCAGGCTGAGAAGTTCCAGATCAGGTTGCCGGCATAGGTGGGTGAGGCCCCTCTTCAGGATTGCAGACTGCTGACTTCTTGCTCTCTCCTCACTTGCTGGAAAGAGCTAGGGAGCTCTGTAGGGTCTCTTTTATAAAGTCACTAATGCCATTCATGAGGGCTCCACCCTCATGTCCTAGTCACCTCCCAAAGGCCCACTGTCTAACACCACCGTATTTGGCATTAGGTTTCCAATATGTGCCCGGCATCATTAGTCATTAGGGAAATGCCAGTCAAAATCAACATTCGCTCTGGCTGGTGTGGCTCAGTGGACTGAGTGTTGACCTGCAAACCAAAGGGTTGCCGGTTTGATTCCCAGTCAGGGCAAATGACTGGGTTGTGGGTCAGGTCCCCAACAGGGGACAGGAGTGAAGCAACCACAAATTGATGTTTCTCTCCCTCTCTTTCTCCCTCCCTCCCCCGCTCTAAAAAAATTAAAAACAAAACAAAACCAGACACTTTGTCTTCTTCACAATGCCTAGAACACTAACACATGGTAAGTGCTTGATAAATATTTGCTGAATGAATAATCTTGGACCTAGTTGAATGGAGTGTTTATAGTCATGTAGTCACAGTTATATAATCTCTCATAGCCTCAAATTCCTTATTTCTTACCTCAGAGTGTTGTCAAGAGGATTAAATGAGATAATGTATTTAAAGCATTTAGCGCAGCGCTTGGCACATGGTGGGTGGCTCATGCATTCTCTTTCTTTTATATTCTGATATATTGACTGTTATTTCTGCAATTTCTCTGTGACCTGTAACCCTTCTCCCCAATTTAGGCAGTTGGAGCCAGGGAATTATATACTCATTGCCCTCAGGGAAAGGATAACACAGCAGGACCATAGAATCTAATTCTTGTCTTTTAAGTTATTTCAAGAGAAAACAAACAACATACATACTTGCAATTACTGACTTTGTCCTGCTTTTGTCATGCCAATCTAATCCTAAATATTTTAAGAAAAGATTTATCCTAGAGAAAAATTACAAGGTAAAAATTACAAGGTAAAAATTGGCTAGGTCGCAAAATACTTTAAGTGACATTTCCTTGTTTCTGGCCCTGATAAACCCTAGTCAAAATAATACATAAATAGGATATCTGATTTAAAATAATCCCATTTTGCAAAATCTTTGAAATGAGTCTTTTCATTATAGTTATATATTTATTAAACCAAACAAATAGACACCTCACACTAAAGCAATGGTTCACAAACCTGAGTATCAGAATCTCCTAAAGAGCTTGTTAAAATACATTTTGCTGTACCTGCCCCCCAGCATTTCTGATTCCATGAGTCTGTGGTGGAGTTAGAGAAATTTCACTTCTAACAAATTCCCAGGTGATGTTACCTGACCTCCTGGCCAAACTCTGAGTCATTCACTAAACTACTTGGCTGGATGAATCTGAAATCTTATTAAAGCCCAAAATTATTTATAGTGGTAACTAACTCATGAAATACTTTTAAGCTTCCTTTTGTATAATACATTGTACCTTCCACAATACAAGTCATTTTGACACTAGAATAAATCAATGCACAAATTAGTGTTTATTGACTTGGGGAGAGTGCCAGGAGGATTGAGCTGATAGTCAAGGTGACCTGCATTCTCATCCCAGCTTCACAGCTAACTGTGATCTTGGTGCCAACATTCAAACTCCCTGGACCCGAATTTCCACATCTGCAAACTGAGAGGAGTGAGCAAGATGATCTTCAAGGTGTCATCTATCTCTGAAAGTACCTGATGATTTTTTGATACTATTGCAGTAAAGTGGGAGAATGTGAAACATAGAGCTTGCTCCTTAGTTGGTGACAAAGATATACATACAGGAAAAGATACCAGCCCAAGCTCAAAGGAAATCGAAAATAAGCTGCTTCAAAATTCCATCCTGGCAGTAGGGTATTAGGAAAACCACCTCTTCACTCTGTCTCAAGAATGAGAATTTGAAACTGTTCTATAATATTAGTGATAAGAATAATATTAACAGAAGAAATCTCTCCCTCCTTTTCTTTCCTCTGTCCTTCCTTCTTTCTTTTCTTTCTTTCCTTTCTTTTCTTTTTCTTTCACTTTTTGATAAATATTTTACTGAGACCTTGGTAATGTAACAGTGGAAAATTATAACAGCGGGAAGTTGTAACACACCCCACCATTCTTTTGATAGTTTCTGTAAGTGCTGACTCTGACTAATATGTTGCTTGTAGATGAATAGCATGTTTGTTCCTAGGAACTAACTTCAAAAGATACAGATCCTGACCTTCAGGCATCCCAGCTCCAGGAAATTTGCTGACCTTCAACCATGGAGCCAGGATGACGTGAACCCAGGATGATGCACACCAGACTATCACTTGCCTTATCAGAATGGATTGTACTCATCTGCACGTAGAGAACTTTGCAAGCCCCTTCCTTGATCTCTTTGTTCTACTCCCCTTCTTCCTCCTTACAAACACCTCTGCCTCCACTGAGAGGTGGAGACAGGCTTTGTGATATGAGTCTCCATCTTCCAGATGGCCAGCATTTGCAAATAAACCACTTTCCTTTACATTAGCACCTGTCTCTCGAGCACTGGATTTCATAGCAGCACGCAGTTAGTTGGACCTGCTTTAGCTTACAGTAAGATAGAGGGAAATGCCCTGAGTAAAGTCAGGTCTAAGAGCCTAAGGCCAAACCACATCAGCTGAACAAATTACTTTACCTCACCAAGCCTTTTTCTTTACCCACAATACTGTTATTATGAGCCTCACGTGAAATAATACACATAGTTTTTAGTGAAGAAACTATCACATAGTTCTGTCACATAGTGAGGAAATAAATGTTATATCCTTCTATCCCTCCAGAGCACCCAGTATTATGTGGTGCTTAAAACCTAAGTAATTTAAGAATGAACAATGATCAGAAAAGTAGGCCTTGGAGATGAGATTAGAGAGTGAAGGAGGAATGAGAATGGATCTAAACACTAATGGAGGGAACATAGATCAAATGGGGACGAAGCGGGTGATTTCACTGTTTTTGGAGTAGGAGGTAGAATAGCATGATTAAGAGTTCCTGCTCTTGGAGACAGGCCACCTGGATTTGAACCTTGGCTCTGCAATTTACTTGCTGTGTTGTGTGATGATGAGCAAATTATTTAACCATTCTGCACCTCAGTTTCCTCATTT